TTTTTAGGGCCATGAGGTTCAGGCCGGTTTGTGTAGAGATCTCAGCTGTAAGGTGGTCAGGGTTCTGTCTCACTAGCTCTAGGCTTATTTGGCACTTAACTTTGGACCTACAACATGGACAAAAATACCAGTCACCATCAAAAGGGCTAGTAAGCAGTGCTTCATAAAAACCAGATGGCTGACTGGAATCACAGTAGCAGTGAGTCCATTGACAGCAAAGTTCACAACCCATCGCCCTAGCTAAGAAGCTGACATTTCTGCGACAAACTACGCAGACATCCTTTAAAACTGTCATTAGACTGCATAAAGGGTAGAAAAACTTTTGTTCAAGGAGTTATGAACCTCAACACAGTAAATATAACAAACTAATCAAAATTCGTCTAACACCACTGTCCTTTTGAAAAAGCCATGGTTACAGCAACGTCTCGGACGAGATTTCCCTTTCATTTTCAGCCTCCGCGTCTGATATGCCCACTTCTTTCGGTGCTCACAAGAAAAGCTTAGCTTTTTTGGTTTTTTGACTACAAGAATGAACTGTCCCACTGATACGCCTTAAGCGTCTTATTGAATCCATAAAAATTTGAGTCAGAATCATTTCGTAATCCAACTTAGTAACCCAACTGGCAGTTTGGTGTCATTATGCACCTTAACCGATCTGCCTATGCAATACATCCGAGAGAGGCAAAGCTTTAGCTGCTAATTCCATAGTCCTTTCCGTCATGTTGGACTTGGATGAATTCCCCTTTACGTGTGTCCCTAAATACCGCCAAAGAGGCTGAAGACACACTCCTTCTCTCGCGACAACCGGACGTTGTTAATGCCTGTAAAATTCGGGCCAGGCCTGACAAGCCATGGTCAATAAGAGAGGAGGAGAGAAAGTCAGCGGTTGGAAATCCCAACAGAAACAACACTATAGTTGTACATGGGATTCCAGAATTGCCAAGTGACCGCTCGGTCAAAGATCGGTACTTTCACGACGTCCAACAATGGCAATGGCTCTCAACCAAAGTTGGTCTCAACAGTATACCGGCCAACAGCGTCAGTAGACTGCCAAGGCCAGCGCACCTGAAGACCATACCCAATCCCAGACTACTCGCCGTCCAGTTCGACTCATATGCCTCCCTCACAGACGTTCTACAGGCATGGTATAATGCGAAGGATCGCATGGGTGGCTCAATACGTATATGTGAAAGTAAGCCTAGACCCACAAGGCAAGAGGAGAGACGACAACCACCAAGACCTGGAGTCAGTGGTCGTCACACAGGCGCTGACCAGTGAGTTAGATACATCAAGTAAAGAAGCCACCACTGCCACAGCCCCCACCCAAGTTAATAACAAAACACCAAAAAACGGAACAATGCCAGTCCTATGAGGACTGGCGAGGGTAGACCCAACCACATAAGCTCTCATCCTGCGAAAATACACAACCAGACCTCCCCCTCACCAGGCACACTCTAATATGTATGTACAGCAACGTTAGGGGGCTAAGAGGGAAGGTAGCAGAAATGAGGACGCTGCGTGCACATCAGCACTCCGACATCATATTCATCACCGAATCCTGGCTCTCGCCAGACATCTCCGACGAAGAGATGTTACTGGCATGGAACTCTTCCGCAGGGACAGGGAACATAGAGCAGGAGGGGAGTGGCTATCTACGTAAACTCTGTTTAAAGGCAAGGATGGTTAGCGATACGGCCTTAACCCAGCTCCCAGAGTCCCTATGGTGCTACTTCACTCTCCACAGTACCAAATACCTGCTCGGAGTCATATATCGGTCCCCCACCAGCTCCCCTACACATAAGGAAATGATCATCAAGGCTATCTTAACGACTTCCTCTGCAAATTACGATTCCGTAGTCATTGCCGGCGACTTCAACACCCCGTCCATCCTCTTCGAGACGGAAGGGAGACGCATCAGATCCTTCAATCAGAAGCTGAAGGATGCAATTAAGACTGCTGGCCTCTCAGAGAAAGTGGGTGATGCTACACGCTGGGGACCTAACGGAAACGCATCGCGCCTTGACTACGTTCTGACGAACGATGAACTTCTCATTGAGGATGTTTGCATCCAACCTCCCCTTGGCCTCAGTGACCACGCTGTAATCACCTTCTCCATGATAACTAGGGAGGCTCTGCAACTGGAGACGCCCAACACCTTCCCTTGCTACAGCAAGGCCAACTATGAGACCATGAGGGACTACCTCATGAATGCATCATGGCCAGTGGACTGGACTCATCTCACAATAGATGAACACTGGTTGGAGGTGAAGAAAATAATCACTGGGGCCATCAGTCACAGTGTACCAGAAGTAACACACAGACAATCAATGAGAACCTCATGGTTAAAGCGTGGGACAGAGAGGCTTATCCGGAGCAAGAAGCAGGCTTGGTTCAAGTGGCGTACATCACGCAGGGAGTCTGACTTCTTGAACTACAAAAGGATTCGCAATCTCTGTAACATTAGAGTGCGTAACGACAGATTTTCCTACCAAACAAACTTGGCAGCGAGGTTACAAAGCAACCCCAAAAACCTGTACCGCTTCATGTCAAGAAGAAAGTCGACCAGTAAGGGAGTGAATCTTGTCACAGGCCATGACGGGAGTGTGCTAAGCAGTCTAGAGATTGCCGAGCTTTTGAGCTCACACTTCCAAGCCCAACTCAGCACTGACACAAGATCCACACCGACTCGCCACGACACCGACCAGGTCGCAAATAACGAATACCTCTGTCACGTCTCTATTACAGAGAAAAAGGTGTTCGAGAAGCTATCTAGGCTACGTCCGGGCAAGTCCCCTGGCTGCGATAACCTGAAACCAGTGGTTCTGAAAAACTGCGCCGAGGTGCTTACCAAACCACTTCGCAACCTCTTTGAGCACTCAATAGACTCGTGCAAACTCCCTAAAGAATGGAAGAGCGCCATCTTGTCACCCATCTTCAAGGGAGGAGACAGAAAAAGCCCTGGCAGCTACAGGCCGATTGCCCTACTCCCTATTGTGTCGAAAGTGTTGGAAAGCCTGGTAGCTGACACCATCTGGGAATTCCTCAATAGAGAAAACACTGTCCACACTGCTCAGCACGGCTTTCGTAGTGGTCGCTCATGTGCCACCAACTTACTAACCGCCTGGGACGACTGGACACAAAGCTGGGATAATAGAAAACCTGTACATGTTGTATTTCTCGACCTAGCCAAAGCATTTGACAGTGTCCCACCCACAGTACTGCTTCACAAGATCATGTCAGCTGGTATAAGTGGACCCCTACTCTCTTGGTTCAAGGAGTACCTGGAAGGGAGGCAGTTCTGCACTAAAGTGAACAGAATAAGGTCGGAGTGGAGACCCTCGACGTCAGGAGTATCCCAAGGAGCAATCCTAGGACCGCTTCTGTTCCTCCTGTTTGTCAACGATCTGCCAGACAAAATATCCTCACCCATCCTCCTCTTCGCTGACGACATAAAAATTTGGAGGGTGGTAAACGAAGAAGCCGATTGTGCAGCACTACAAAAGGACTTGCAGCAACTCGAGCTCTGGTCGTCGGAAAATGGCCTGAGCTTCAACCTGGAAAAGTGCAAAGTAATGCACATCAGTAAAAATGAGGCAAGTACGACCGACTTCCAGTACATGTTGAGCAACCGTGCTATCACCAGAGTGTCCATGGAGAAAGATTTGGGGCTCAACTTCTCCGACACCTTGGACACCAGCTCCAACTACAAAGGTATGACAACCAGAGCGAACGCCATTCTACACTTTCTGCGTAGACAGCTTGGCGCCCTCACTCCCGAACTCTTCCTCACCATTTTCAAATCCTACGTGCGGCCGCACCTAGAGGTCTTCAATACGGTGGCTCCTCCAACACTCAAGAGAGACTCTAATCTCCTTGAAAGAATACAAAGAACTGCAACAAAATCAGTTGTGGGGCTAAGGGGAAAGACGTATCCTGAAAGACTTAAACACCTCAACCTATTTACCTTGGGTTATCGCAGGAAAAGGGGTGACCTCATTATGGCATACAAGATCGCCCATCAGGCAGACCATGCAAACAAATCAATTTTGCCTGCAACTGAACGATCTTCACGAGGAAACCCCATTAAGATAGCACACCAGAGAGCCAACACCACACTCAGGTCCAAATTTTTCTCCCTAAGAGTATGTGCTTTATGGAATGCCTTACCGCGACACATCGTTATAGCTCCTTCAATCGACTCTTTCAAGAGGCGATTAGACAGTTATGTCACCTCGCATGGACTACCACGGACGTACTCAGGTAGTCACCAACCTCAGTACCCCCAACTCCCTCCTAACTACCACTCACTATCTCTCTCCTTAATACACCCACATTACCTACTAATTCTTCTGTAGGAACCAAACCCACGCGACCATTCGGGCAATTCCCAAATACTTTTCTTTCGTTCTCATTTCTCTTTTCACCCCTCCTTTTCTTCTCCTTCCCTTTTCTCTTCCCTATATTATTATTATTTTTTCCTTTTTTTCTCTTCCTTATTTCTCTCTTCATTCCTTTACCACTACCTTACTATTCTCTTTCAGGTACCTACACAGACAGGAGTCACGGCAGTTCTCTAAACTTCCCAGCAACCCGTAGCTCCCTAATCACTCTACAAATTACAACCTACTAACCCACAAAACATCCACCTCACCGAAGCTAAAAGCAAGAAAGCAGAGGGGATTTCCTCGTCCACTGCAGGAGTAAACCGAACAACTGGAACCAAGCCCTAAGAACTAGACGCGAGAGATCAAAAACTACCAGTTTTCTACGCTCGCACTATCAATATTGGATAGTGGATCCAAAATATCGACTTCTGTTGCATGTTAACTTTGAAATGCTCGCAAATTTTCAACGAAACAGGAATGACATACCATTTCTCACCTAACAGACTGAGATCAGTTATAAGGTATTCTTCCTTTTCCGTAAAGACTGGATGGAACTGATCGTAATTTAGGCGCCGTGTTTGAGAAAGTGCGGTTCTTGCGAATGACCAAGTGAAAATGAATGAGCTTGAGAAACTCCTGAGTTAGTTGACATACTGTTGTTGATAACATATTTTCTTTAGGTAAAGCTACTAATCCATTATCTGAACAGCTTAATTCTGACACGCTGAATGCAATTGCTAAGCTAATCGATACTCAACCAAATGGTCCAGTTTTCACTCTTCGTCTTCTTGCTCATAAGATTAAATCTCCACATGAAAAAGAGGCACTTAGTTCACTAGCGGTAGGTTTTTGCCCCGCTCTTATAAATTTTAGCTGTTAGAATCTTTGTCCAGGAGATGTGGTCCAACATTTTTATCCGAGCTAGGGAAGTTCAAATTTCTCAACGAACTGATCAAAGTTCTTTCACCGAAGGTATGTTCCGAGTTGTTTTACTATTTTTTAAAATAAAATTCGCTGAGTCGGTAAACTTTTGGGAGTTCCAGTATGCTTTAGTCGTGGGCTGGTCGTTCGTTGAAGCGAGTCTCAACACCTAGCTGGGTGGTGGGAGATTCAAAAGCCTACAGTTTACTACGCTCTCACGATTAGCGTTGAGTTTTGTTCGATGTGCACAGTCCTCACTACTTTCCCGGCTTATAGCGTAGCTTGTATGTACACTATTAACGTCTTTTCATGATAAGATGAGAATAGTACTTTGTGCTGTCTACTTAATTCTGTAGGCTCACTATCCGTTAATCCTTTTATAATCTATAAGTTGGCTGACTTTCAGCTAACCTGAGAGGTATTTGTATGTAATACTTATAGTTTATGGAGCGGTTTAGGGAATAAGCTTCCTTATCCGTTTTGTAAAATAAGGATGTTGATGGTACTGTAATTTTCTAGTGCGTTCACTTTTGGGAACATTTTATGATTTTTCTTGGTCAAAGACTCATTTGAACATACAATCCATACTCTCACACTAACATCGTGCTCCCATCATCGGATTAAGTTTAGCTTATCTCACTCTAGTTTGAGGTCTGTTGGTCTTTGTCAAATTCTAGGCGAATCACTTGTTGATCAAACATTTTTCACAGGCTCAACAATCGGTGTGGTAATAATCTTCACAAAGCCGCTTTCAGGTAACTTTTGCTTTGCACCCTGAAACCCTGAGGTCTTGATTCATCTACCAATTGATACATCTTTTAGTGATCCATTGTGATGTTACGGATTGTATAATTGTAAACCGACCCACTACTGTTTGAGGTTCTAGTTTGTTGGCTTGTTAGTATATTTAGGTTTGCACCTTAGTGTTTTGCAATCTTCCTACGCGGTTAAAAATACCTAGTTATAATTTACGCTTTAGCACCTTCCAAAGAACCGAGTGGAAATCAACTCAGCAACCTTGTGCACATTCGTGCATTAGGGAGTAGACCATACCTATTGTATGAGGACTAATGATACTGCTTAGTTGCCTGAACATCGATGAGTGGGGCAGTGTTCAAATCCGCGACCTACCTGTTGGAAGTCAACTGACTAAGCCAATGACCCCACAAATGTAGCACCTTACTATCCGTTTTTTGCAAGTGATACATTTACAAATGGTTAGACGTGTTTTCTTATTTGAAAGAGATTTCAAACACCACTGTATTTTCGCCATTCACTGTTTACTGATTTGGTGACGTCAAACCATAAAAATTCCAACCTATAGCTACATTTTGTCAACGTCTTCATTTGGCAGGACAATATCGTCTGCGTACTGCAAGTCAACCAGATGACTCTCAGAGACTGTGAAGTTAAAGGTAGCTAAGATTGTGTCTATTGGTATGTCTAAAACGAAGTTAAGTAGAAGTGATATCCGTTGGCATCTCTAGCGGACAGCGCTAGTTGTCGTTGGTTCTGGTGACTTCTCCATAATCAATTACACGACAGTAAGAGTTTGAGTAGACAGCTCTGAATAGGGTTATATACTGCCTTGGTACTACCTTCGCAGTCAGGTGCTGCCACAACAACACACCACCAACAGTCGATGACTACATGCAGGCCAAGAGATATGACGTGTCAGCCGTCAGCATGTATGCCTATGTTCCATAACCTGTTGAATGATAAAGATCTAGTCGATGGATCTACCCTTTCAGGTTTGGAACCTGCTTGGATTTCCTCCGGTTCGCTCTTTTTGAGCTCCAGTTAAGTGTCCGATAACTATAGACCCTGGGACTTTGGACAAGATACTAGTCGAAATGATGCATCTATGGTTGTTACAAGAAGACTTCTCCCTTCCTGTACAGTGGAATGATAAATGAAGTAGGCGACTGACGACTTACTGATTCCCATTTGCTACCTAGTACCTCCGTCACTTTAGTCAATAATTCCTAACTCCATCCTTGAAATCTTCAGGTGGCAAACTATCAGTTCCTGCTGCTCTGGATTGTTTCAGGTTCCTTACACCTTTCTCAGCTTTGAGGAGAGTTGAAGATTCGAAATCTACATCCTATTCAGACTCGGGATGGATACTGGCTGAGACGTTGGTGTATCTCAGTTAAACTGTGTTTCAGCGAGTTCTGCTGAGCTCTATCGCCATCTTTCTTGGAAGGTTACCAGTGTACCATCCTTGTCGGTGATGGTCTCAATATTCATTGTTTTTTTCTTGCCGGTATCCTTAATAAGCCTACATAATCACCGGCCATTACCTAGTTCTGGTACCTTTCCCGTCTCTCGCTTTTTCCAGGCATGAATGCTTGGGGTCATTGCAAAGATCCTTCGTTAATTTACTTTTCAGCTGCTTTCGATCTTCATTGTGGTCAAAGACTGCTGGAACTAGTCTTCTCGCATCAATCACTTTGGACGACGCTGTGGAAAACTGCTGGTGTTGGCTTACCTTTGGATGTTGTATGTAGCGCTGTCTAGTAGACAATATCAGACCGGATGTCATCAGCTGGAGGATTGCTATCGCGTTCATCTGGATGCTTAGCTATCTCCTAAATTACGTACTTGTTGTTTTCATCTGTCAATCGAAAACACAGGCTAATCTGCTGTCTATTTTCTATGACTAGTAAGCCACAGACATATACATGCCTGTGCCAATGTGTGACCGGTGTCCAAAATAATATTCTAGAAAGAGCGGCAATCCTCCATTAGTCCTGCTATTTATCACAATGTCTCTTCTTTTACTTGAAGTTAGTGCTGGCCAGAAGCAAGTGATTAGCAGAACAAAATTGCTACAGACGATCACTGTTGTCGATTTTTCGGCAGGAGATTCTGTGGATACCTTCTACATGCCTTTCCGACTGGATAAGCTTCCCTTTTTGAGCGATGAAATTAACTGCTGTTGTGACTATATCTGAACATTTTACTTTCTGTGTCATCCGAACTGCAGTTAGCAAGCGCGCAGATAGAATTTACCAATAGATATTGGTTGGTCTCAAGATCATTCCTAGTTTTTGCAGAGCCTCTCAGTCGAACAGCATATAAATGGCTGTTGACTGGGGGTCTAGTCGGAAAGCGCACTTTCTGCTCTACAACTCCATGCTCTACCTACACCAGGTAGTCAGCAACGGTTAGTCACTGAATCTCTGGACACTTGTAAAATAAATTTTAAAGGTTCATAGCACAGACCAAGTGAGTTAAGGTAAGTAACCACAATCACTTTTTTATACCTGTCTCAGAAACAGTATGCACGCCTGAAGATTGCAAAACTGTGTCGAGCGATGTCTGCTGTACGATGTGGGATAGGGTTCGGGTGTTCAAAGCCTCAATATGAAGTTGACAACGTGATGTCAAAGGAGTAGGAATGGCGATTTGCGATCTGTGATAACCACAGAGAAATCAACCTGACGAACATAGTGTCTAAGATTCTCGGTTCTACAATCATTAGACGCATGAGTGGAGCTCGGGAACAGCAAGCCCAAGAAAACCAGGGAGGCTTCAGAATTGGCCACAAGTGTGTCGATCAGATATTCACACTCCTTCAGGTTCTGGAGCATAGGCATACTTACCAACACCTGACAATAGCTGTATTTCTCGACCTGAAAGCGACACTCGACTCCATCGATTGAGAAGTCTTATGGTAGTGTCTCATTAAACGGGGTACCGAATAAGTATATCACTCTATTGAAGGCTCTTTACTGCAACGCTTGTAGAAGTAATACAGCCCATGATGGGACATAAGGTGAGTTGTGTACATCGAGCAGTGTCCGTCGAGGATGCCTACTTTCTCTATTACTATTCAATTTTATCATAGATGTTCTTATGGAGGTCCCCCTCTCGACATCTGACTACGCTGGGATTGACCTAATCACAGGGAAATTTCTGGTAGACCTAGAATACGCATATGACATAGTCCTGATAGGTAAAGACACTGACAAGATGCAGTGTCTTCTGGACACATCGAGTAGCAGTTTGGTGATTTTTAGGATGCGTTTCTCGCCACCTAAATGCAAATTGTGTTCCAGGTCTTGTCTCCCACGATGCTCTGGCTAACAATAAAGAGTAAAGTGATTGAGCACCGAACCCTTCACTTATCTTGGAAGTCGGATCAGGCTTGGTGGGTCAGTGATCTACGAAGTCTCTGCACGGACACAAAAGGCTCGGTTGCTCATTGTTAACGACACTCTAACCATACTTCACTGACCAAAATGTTTGGGACCGGGTATTATTTTTATCATTTGCAGAATAGCTGTTGCTCATTACCCACTGCACTAAATGGCACATTGCTACTGAGTGCATTTTGGTTATTCTGCTGTAGAAACAGTTAAAAGCAATTGGTAATCTACATCCAACAATTAGAATAAGCCAGTAGATTTAGGTAGAGTTTTCCGAAGTAACTGGTGCGAAAAGACTGATTTTCGCTGGCTGTAGCCAAAATAAAAGCGAAAGCAGCTCTAACATGTTCAGCCATTCTTAATTTCATGTTTTGATTTCTCCCACATATTTAAATTGATAAAAATAACGCTATATAATGCGAACACTTGTGTCCTTTGGGTTTCGTGGAAGTATGAAATTCGTTTTCTTTACTTTGATGACCTCAGCTGTGTAGTGTGTTACACTGCTTGCTGTAAAGCCTTTTTTTCATACTAAGTCTATTTGAACCATCTGTAAATGTTAATGGGATACAGAAACGTTTCTGGGGACAGAAGATTAAGTCAGTCTCAATACTATAAAACGTTTACACTTGTTGATAAGTTTCAACTGGCTTCCATTGTGTCAGTGTCACAGTCAACAGGTTGCCTTCCTCCTCTTTTGTATGCTTTATGCAGATATGTTCTATCCTGTTGAATAAGCACCTAATTACAATAGGAAGGAGAAAAATCAAACCAGTCCAACAAAAATATAAATCGTAGATATATGGCTTATTGGCTTAGACACTTGACTTTCAACCACTGGGTCCTGGGTTCGGAATTACCCTCTACCTAGGGCGACTTATCAAATCGGTTAGTATAATGAGCCCTTACACAATGACTGTGGTTTATAGACTGCCATACATAAACAGTTGCACCGGATTAAGTTGCATTTTTCTCTTGCTTATTCCAACGTCAATTCATCATAAAAATGTCCCTCGCCTGGTTAACTAGTTCACTAGTTACTAGCCGGTTCTAAGCCCGGGTAAACAGGGAAGGTTGGGCATAGGGCTAGCAACCCTACCCCGTAAAACAAATCTAACCGCTAAAGAAACTTCAAAGCACAAACGAAATATAAAAAATAAAAACAAAATTATTCCTCGCTGGAATCAGAGAGGCGAAATGACGCCAGTTGGTGAAAGCCTTCGAGCAGCCAATTGGCCGATGTGTCTTCTCTCGATGAAAGCGAAAGTAAACGTGGGGACATGGAATGTCCTCACGGTGTTTGAACCCAGCAAGGCAGCCCAGATTGCAAAAGAGATGAGAAGGTATCATATTGAAGTGCTTGGGATTTGCGAAAGCAGATGAATGGGAGTGGACTCTCCAAACTGTCAACTGGAGAATCAATAATCTACTCCGGTCACCCAGACGACAACCACGAGAACAGCACACTGAGTTATGGAGTGGCTATCATGATGTCCTCAAGAGCATCGAAGGCTCTCATGCAGTGGAAACCAATCTCCTCCAGGATCATGACAGCAAGATTCAACTCAAAAGGAAGAAAGGTCACAATTATACAATGCTATGCACCTACAAATAATGCAGAGCCAGAAATAATGAGAAATTTACAGACAATTGCAATCAACACTAGACAAGACGTCAGTTGGTGATATCAAAATTCTAATGGGCGACATGAATGCCAAACTAGGAGGGGACAACATGGGAAGAGAACTAACCATGGGTCGAGAAGCGCTAGGTGAAATGAACGAGAATGGAGAATTGTTTGCAGAATTCTGTATATTCAACGATTTGGTGATTGGAGGCAGTGTGTTCAGGCACAAAGATATCCACAAAGTGACATGGATTTCACTAGATGGACACACAAAAATCAGATCGACTTTATCTCTATGTGAAGAAAGTGGAGACGCAGTCTACTTATCACAAGGTCAAGAAGAAGAGCAGATGTAGGTTCAGACCACTCACTGTCTAGTGCAAGGAACCTTTCAAATCAAGTTAAAAGTCTTCAAGGAAGCTGGTGACAGACCGCAGGTCAAGTACAACACTCGGAAACTGAAGGACGAAACTACAAGGGACATCTTCACGTCAGCCATCAAGACAAAATGGAAGATATCGAGGAACATCCCTGAAGAAACCTGTGTGGAAGAACACTGGAAGTCTTTGAAAGCTATATGGAAAGAAACCTGCACAGCCGTATTAGGAAGGAAGAAGAAAGAAGACAAGGAATGGATCTCAATGGATACCTGGAAGCTGATAGAGCAGGGAATTGAGGATGGTGAAGTAGAAGATAAACCAGTGCAAGGATGCTCAACTACAACAGGAACTGAGTACAATGTATAAAACACTACACTGGACAAAGAGGTGAAGAAGAGTGCACGAAAAGACAAAAGACACTTCTACGAAACACTGGCAAGTGAAGCAGAACAGGCTGCAGGTAGAAGAGACCTGACAACATTGTATCAAATAACCAGGTTGCTATCAGGGAAGAGATCAATGCAGACGAAACCAATAAAAGATGAATAAGGAAATTTAATTACGAAAGAAGAGAAACAAAGAAAACAATGGGCCGACCACTTCAAAAAGCTCTTGAATCGACCACCACCACCATCTGCAACTCGTCCAGAAATGCCACCTACAGCCGCTGAACTACAAGTGAACATAAATCTTCCAACAAAAATTGAAGTCCTGAATGCCACGCCATAAAGCTACTGAAATGTGAGAAAGCAGCAGGACCAGATGGGATCCCACCAGAAGCACTGAAAATAGACGCAGAGACAACAGCAGACATGCTCACACCACTATTGCAGAAGGTGTGGAAGGAAGGGAAGGTACCTGGCCATTGATTGGAAGAAGGTTTACCTTGTCAAACTCCTGAAGAAGGGAGACCTCAGTGTTTGCAAGAACTGGCACGGAATCACTCTCCTCTCCACCCAAAGCAAGCAAAATATTAAGCCACATCATTCTGGAGAGACTAAAGGATGCACTGGATTCCAAACTACGGCCGGAACAGGCAGGCTGGTTTCAGGAATTACAAATCATGTGCAGACCAAATTGCAACGCTTCGCATCATCATAGAACAGAGTATAGAATGGCAATCAGCTCTCTACCTCAACTTTATCGACTTTGAGAAGGCCTTTGATAGTGTCGACCGAGAAGTAATTTGGAAACTGCTTCATTTCTACGGAGTACCGCAAACCTTTATCAGCCTAATTCAACAACTATATGAAGATGTCACATGCCAAGTAATTCACAATGGGAAGCTCAGTGATGCTTTTGGAGTGGAAGTGAAGACAGGAGTGAAACAAGGCTGTCTACTATCCCCCATGATCTTCCTGATAGTGGTCGACTGGACTGGATCATGCAGCAAACAGTGATACGCTGGCTGAACTGCGGAAAAGAACCTAGAAGATCTGGATTTCGCCAACGATGACCTGTGTCTGATGTCACACAAAAGTGAAGATCTACATGTGAAAATTAACAAGTTGACAGAAGAGGCAGCGAAGATGGGACTTTAAGTGAGTAGAGAGAAGACAGAGGTGATGAAGATACTTCACCACCACTACCACCAACAACAACAAGCTGCAATCGCCATGAACGGGAGAAACTAAAGGAAGTAACCTCCGTCACCTATCTAGGAAGCACTGTTTCAACTACAGGCGCCACAGGCACAGACGAGGATATCAAAGCCAGCCAGATCGGAAAAGCAAGACAGGCGTTCATTAGCCTGAAACCTGTGTGGAAATCTTCTGCACTCAGCGTGTGGAACAAGATGTGGATTTTCAACACCAACCCAGTCAAGTCAGTGCTTCTGTATGGTTGAGAGACTTGGCGCGTTACGAAAGGGATTTCCAATAAACTACACACATTCATCAACAATTGCCACCTACGCTGGCTGGTTACTGAAGATCAGATGGCATAGCCAGAAATAATAAGCAACAAGAAACTGTGGTTGACTGGCAACGAACCAACCAAGAACCTATCACCCAACAAATATGCACTGGAAGGAAGTGGAGATGGATTGGGAATACACTGAGAAGGCCGGCTGGGGACATCACGCGTCAGGCCAGACACTCGAGTGGAACTCCCATGGGAAGCGACGAGTTGGACGTCCGAGGGTGACATGGAGGCGATCGTGCGAGGAGGAAATGAGGCTTGTGGGCTGTCGTAGAACCAGGTTCAAGAGATCTCAGAGAACAGAGTGGGATGGAGACGTGCTACTGAAGCCCTATGTTCCACTAGGAACCCAAGGGACTAATAATAATAATAATAATATATGCATATAAGTTTCCTATAATACACTGAGACTTCGTTGTCCAGTTAGTCGATTCTCAACCATCGAGTCGTAGGTTCGAGTTCATAACTCCCTACTACAGACTAATCGACTATACACAATAAACTAACATAATGTAATAGGACTTATAAACTCATCACTTCATTGCGATGTGTGAATAAAAACATTCGGGTTAATGATAGTTTAAGGTTGTTCAATCTAAGTGAAGTTGAATTTCAACCCGTAACCCATTGATTGAATCAATTGGTCATAGCTTCATATAAATCCTAGTATATCAATATGGAATTGAGTAATGAGTAATTATCATTGAAATATCTAACAACTACCGTTCATGTAAGCTTCAAAAGTAAATGATACTTTAGCATTTATTTTAGATAAAATCGAGAACACTTAATCAATTGCCTCAGTATATTTTCATTGGATACACTGTATTTGTTCTGAGTGTTTATTGTTGAGTTATTTAATTGGATAGTCGACTTTAAGCTGTGTAATTATGAGTTCGAACTCCACTCCTTGTACTGGTGCCTGAGGAACCAGGTAGTATTACAGCACTTAAATAATAGGTGTATGGCTCATTACACAGTACATGAAGGTGTATATAGTCAAATCTATTCTATGTTCATGTACTCAGTAGTCACTCCAAATTCAATATAAAAAAGAATTATACCTTTAAATATTCTTTCTTCCTATACTACTTTAGTATCTAGGTGATCAAACATCTTCTTGTGTAAAGAATAAATGTGCTCAATTACTTCATGATTGGCAACGTGATTTTTCACAAAATGAACCAAAAATTTCAGAAGCCTACAATATGCTTGTTCGTGAAGGCATCATAACTTCAGATCAGATAACATCGAAAAGTTCCACGACAGAGGTAATTCTTTTTTTTAATTTATCAACTTGATTAATATATCCTTGTTGTAAAGTGTATGCAAAAGCTGCTTTTTCAAATGTTTATTCAACAGAATGTTTGGATATTGTTGTACACGGAGTGGAATTACGGACGTGGGTAAACGATATTAGGATTCAATAAACACCTCAATCGAATACTGTTACGACTGACCTACCTCAGTCCAGTACCTTCTGCTTCACTGAGCCACGAAAATCACAGGGCAAAAGACGGCCTGTGACTGCAAAACAACAACAACTTTATTAGACAAATACATGGTATATATATATATATATATATATATATATATATATATATATATATACAAAACCCTCAGAAAATGATTCCATAAATAAACGAACCCGATTGATTGTATGACGTCAAGTTTGTCTAATCAGGTTACCTCATGTCAGTACACGCATGAATCATGATTTGAAAACAATTTCTCTATTGCCTGCCTTTTTGTTGCTACCTACCAGATACTAACCATTCAGGTCTTGCTTTTGGCACCCTCAGTAGGTTAAAAAAATATTGTGGATATCTTTGATCCCCGAAACGATAAATACTAAAATCACAGCATAACTCACTAGCTATTCTCAGGTGTTTTAAAAGTTCACCTTTTAATACCTGAGTAAAGGCGGTTGAGATCAGAATCCGTGACATCAAAAGACACCCCGAACTAATGGACTTCATACAGCTACACAATTTCACCCCCTTGTTCATCCTTTATTTATTCTAGCCTACCAAGCTCGGGTTAAAGAGAGGCTTGTTTTGATCGCAATGTACACATATATGATTGATATAATGCTTCGACGCGATACGACTCACGACAGAACAGTAACTTCTTAATATGGTACTCAGCCGAGACCAGAAGACAATAGGATTAAAAGTATATTTACTGCAACCGAATTGTGCGATTATAGATGAAATTTCAGTCGTTTATATACCTTTTTATTGGCTTTGGCCAGAGGAAACAAAATAGTATATTAAAAGTGTAAAATAAACCAATCAGCGTTTAGTTTCGTAAACCGCGGTAAAAATAAGTAACATTGCGTGGAGCAGAAGAGGTGCAAAATGTAGCTTTTTATTCGCCTACTACTGATGAACTTCTCTTATCATTCTGTTGTGAAGTGTTTTATCTTAAACCAGTACACTTTGTATGATATTCTTCATTGTTCTATATATTCGCCTGTTTATCGTACTATCAAGAAATATATCCGATAATACTTACTTCGATCTTGTGAGATGATAATTGAAGTTGAAATAATCATGGAATAGATCACTATCAAATTGGATTATCAATCTCTACTATTCTATCAGTTGAACTGTCAACGTATCCAGTTGTAACCTGTGAACGCTTAATTAACTGATGGTAGACTGTTAAGTCTAAATAATACTGTTGCTAGAAGTTCGATAATTACACTTACTACATGTTATGACCATTGAAAGTACATATGTGTTAGGGTTATTGGTATTATGTGACTGGTTACACATAGATACCCCGTTAGGTGAAGTGAGCTTCGAATCCGTGATTCTTTGAGTCAGTTTAAATTTGTAACGTTGTACTGCTATGCAAGGTTGTAGATCCTCATTTTTGGTTCTCTGTTGCATATGGTTTCGACGTTCTATGTTTTTATCCTTGAATACTTCCATTATGCTAATGAAGCATATTGATGAACTGATGACATTTGTTTCAGTCTCAGTGCTAACCTCCCTGTAATAAGAATCGTCGATTATATTTGTGAACAATTATTGGAAAGGACATTAGAAACTTGCATTCCTATTATAAATTTGAAACAACTATTGATAAAATGTACAATGAATGTCCAGTTCATCTTCAGTAGACTAATATCTGTACAGATAAGTTGACGGAGTGGTTATGAAATCTCCATTGGATCCAATATTTACAGATATATTTTTAGCAAAATTGGGAAACGCTCCTTTGAAAGATCAGACTGTTAATATGGAGTTGTACTGTCGATAAATGGATGATACTTTTTTAGACTTTGATAGGTGCATATGTATTAATTCTATACTGAACCATTTCAACAGTCCATTTTACATACGAAAATGAAATCAATGATTCAATGCATTTACTTGAAGTGCTAATGACAAGAAACAAAGCTGGTCCTATATTGAGAAGTATATATTGCAAACTAACATCTAAGGCACAGTAAACGCACTTTCTCACCTTCGTACCGATGAAGTAAAAACGTAATAGAATCAGGTGTCTGGCTTTTAGAGTAAGATCGATTTGTTCCAAGGAGTATATGAAAAAAGAACTGCTGTGTATTCGTGATATTCTAAGTGAAAATGGATATCCGGACAAGTACATCAAAGCTAACATCAACTACATTGGTCCTAAGCAAGAACTGATGACAGTGAGGAAGAAGCCTTTGTATCTACGCTTACAGTTCAAGGAAGATGTTGCAGGTGATATTCCATCACAACGCACAAATATAGCAGGCAATAGGACGTTCTATACAGGTTGGCTTTGCATATCATTCAGTAGTCGACCAATGCTCACTGTGAAACTAAAGGATATTCTACTCACTCTTAGCTCTTCATCTCGCATATATCAATTTAACTGTTCCCATGGAACTAGTTATACAGGGCGTAAGATTAGGTAGGTGCGTCTCTGGATACGAGAGGATTTACGAGGTTGGTTTGGAAAGGGTGAAGTGAATGTGGTGAAAACTTCAGTCCTAACGCATCTAGTCGACATAGAGCATCACATAGATGCTAATAAGGCCTTCAACGTCATACATCGTGTTCCTGAAACGATACTACATGCAGCTCACCAACGTCTGCTCAACATAGCTGAGTCTATCAAAATAAGACTAATCAAGGCTGAACTCTGCATTCAGAAAGAACATGTCCAAGTGTTCCTTCTCCCTTGGGTTTCAGTAAACTAATCGATTTCCTTACTATCCCTTAACACACTCCATTTTGAAAATGTACTTGTCCCTAACATGGCTTGTTTTTACGCTGTACAAATTCATTTTATAATTGTAGAACATGATGAGATTACTTATTCTTCGTTCAGATTGTTGCTTTTTATAAATCCCCTGTTAACTGATAGCTTAAAGTTGTTTAAGTTCCCATATTTTTTTTTATTTAACCTATCTTACCCTGTCATTTTATGCTTCAGAGTTTACCGGTACTTATACAATCCTTTTTTCTTTAAGAATTCTTGATAGATTATAATAGTCAAAAGTCCATTAGTCCATTCGAATAATTATTCTTCATGTCATTGGTATTATTTCTAAAAGAATTATCTATAGTTTATTTAAAATAAGTTGAGAGATTATTTCACTATTGGAGCTAACAGGAACTAAAATCAATCTAACTGATTAGTTGTACATATTTCTTTTTCTCTCTCAAGAGAACTTCTCCCTTATGCAACATAGTGCCATAGTTGAACAGGATCAGGTGAATACAATTAGCTGTACGATTTTTCAGTATTATTGCTAATGGAGTTCTTAGTTTTGACTAGCAGAGGAGTCTAGGAGTCGTGGGGGGTGTACCTGCACTCCAGTACGGAGTGATGTTTTTCTCACTGAGACTCGAGCTTCGTACCCATCGTTTCAAACGCTAGAAACGTTATCTACTAGGTCACACAGGCACGATAACCACCTCTTGTACAACAGGTATTGGTTATTATTATTTATTGATATGCTTGTAATTCTGCGTGCTTCAGTGACCTAGTGAATTACTGCTTTAGCATTTGAAGCGGTGGATGCAAGGTTTAAGTCTCAGTTGGAACAACATCACTCACTTAGGTGGTGTATCGGTTGACGAGTCTCGAGTGGGACGAAACGCGCGTCCTGGGTTCCTCTGATAGCCACAACCAAGTAAATTGCGGTAATAAGTATTCAGGCAATATCATGGCATCTACACAAGAGCCCATATGTCAATAGAGGCTGAACAATTCGATTCAGTAAACCGACGGAGAATTACAAGAAGAAAATGCGTAATTGAATAGTAACAGCTCACATGAAGCTGTTAGTTAGTTGTTAGATGTAGCTCATTGGCTTAAGCATCCAACTTTTAAGCAGTGGTTCCCAGATTTGAATTCCTATCGACTTACTCCAGTCTGGACCGGTCTGTACCGCTGAAGACCAGTCTTCAGCGGTACCGCGGTTAACAATAGAGAGTGAAGTGGTTGAGTGTGTTGACCACTTCACTTACCTGGGAAGTAGGATCAACCCCGGTGGGTTAGTTGCCGATGAGATTTCTGCACGGATACAAAAGGCTCGATTGGCTTTTGCCAATTTGCGCCACCTATGGCGCCGCCGTGATATTCGTTTGTCTATTAAGGGTCGCGTGTACTGCACAGCAGTCCGCTCTGTTCTACTATATGGCTATGAAACATGGCCATTGAAAGTGGAGGATACAAAAAGGCTTGAGGTGTTTGACCACCGTTGCCTCCGTAGTATAGGCCGTATTCCGTGGTGTCACCACATGAGTAATGCAGAAGTTAGGTGTAGAGTTCTGTGGAGAAGAGGTAAGTCAGTCGACGAGGTTGTGAACCTTCATCGACTGAGATGGTTGGGACACGTGTTAAGTATGCCTAGTCACCGATTGCCTCGTCACACAATGTTGGCTGAGGTGGGTCCAAGCTGGAAAAAGGCCGGAGGTGGCCAGACTAAAACATGGCACCAATGTATGAAGTCTCTGACTGTTGGTTTAAGCCATGTAAGACGATGCAGACTAGGTGGTTGGGGTCCACGGGACAAGAGGAACCAGTGGTTGGAGACCCTAGGTGATATGGCTCAGAACCGAAGTCAGTGGTGCAGATGTATACACACATTATCCTCATCTTAACAATTCTATACCGAATCTCACTATTTTGTCACTCCTCTTTCCTTTCTCCTCGTACTTTATATTTCTTTTGACTGCATTCACTTATCTTCATCCTTCACCTCACTACCTTTTTACTTGATGTGCTGATATGAGGTGTGGCAACTCTGACCGTTAGGCAGTAATGCCTGGTCCTATGTTGATAATGATGATGATGATGGACAACTGTTTACTATCATAGCTTAGTACGTAAACATGCACCAGGTTCAAGGTGTACACATGATAAAAAATTATCCTAGAAAATACGGCACTATTGAAGTGTTTGTGGTGTTAATTGAATTAAATACACAATCTGATGGATTAGTGGATATGTTCAACTTACCATACTTACAGAACAGTTATGGTGAAATAAGTTGTTAAACAGGGAAAATAAAGAATAGAGGAACACAAGAACTAGTGGAATAAAAAGAGGTTTTGATTAATAAAACATTCTATGTGTGTTTAGACCAATATAAAATAAGAAATAGGAATGATGCAACAGAAAACCTTGAAAGGCCATAATATAGGAAACGATAAGACGGAGACGTAGGAAGGGATGTTTATTATTGACATCTTGTACAACAGTCATCAAATATTGTACACTTTCCACTAAGACAGTCATTTGCACAATGTGCTTCATTTCCTTTCCTGCTCTTAATATGCTCACATTGCTTCTTGCGTTTCTCTGGGCAGAATCTTTACCCATTTCTGGTAAAATTCCCCATGATTTCTGCCACCCTCTCAACATATACTACTTATAGCCATCCATTCTGATCAGCAGCGCCCACTACAATAAGACTTATGAATAAAGGTTAAGGTAAATATGAAAGTGTGGGATCAATTTATCTATGCACCGCGGGGGGGGGATCGATTTTGAACCCTATCACCTTCAGTCTACGTCTTCACGTCAATCCTACCATGGAAGCTTAATTTTCCTTAGATGTCTCAGAACAGCAGTCGAAGACTTTATTGACCATTAGCACATTATTGTCTGTCTATTCTGAGTTTTTTTCCCCAACTTAATCCTACATCGACTAGCATTATCATACGTCGACGTAAGCTATGATTGGCCATGAATAACGCATGATCAAACCATCTAATTACTGTATAGTCTACTTGTGCTAGTTGTTATATTCACTACTTAAAGCTTAGTCTTAAGGGTAAGAGGTCGAAGTGTCACTAGTTTCTAAAGAATTTAGACCTCACATTACGATGAAGTTACATAACTGTAAGATATCCGTTGCATTCTCACTAATCAACTGACAAAGTATTTCAATGAATTTCCTTCAACGATGTGTTTTGTTGTAAAGTACAGTAGTTTACCTGTGAGTAATGTCTACGAAGCTTATCGATTCTTGAATACTTTTGTAATGAAATTACATAGAACTCCTCTGGAAGTGGTTTATTTGAGAATAAATGGTGTGAATATCATTGTGCTATCTAATCCTCCTTTTCAAGCACAGTCAACCTCTTCAATACTATAAGACCACTATTTAGCCTAAGGAAAGAAGCAGATAGGTTATTGAGTGACCAAAGGAGGACATGTTGATCCACCCTGACCAGTAAATTAAACGATTTAAAGTGTTACATCACTTAACATCATATTGAAAAGGTATTCTGAAGATTCCAGCTGCACTTTTCTCATTAGCATCAAAAGGCGATGGACATACATGGGATATCTTGCTAACTAGTTTCGGTCATAAATAAAGACGGTATTTACTGGGACCTTGATGCTGCTTAATTTCATCAACACTTTTGATACGTCTGAGTAGGACGTTGATTGTGATAATAAGCAAAACGAGTAATAACCCAACGGGATACTTGGACTGGATACGAGTAATACGACTGTTTTCCCCCACACCTGATACTTGACAGAGCTCCGAAAATAAGAAGACAAAAAGACGGACCAGTGACTGACTTATGAAAGATGATTTTATTTAACAAGAAACATAGTATATATACATACAGCTGCTACTCAGAAAATGAAGCCACTAGATTACCAATCAACCGAAGGGCAAAATTGCTCAGTAAAATTAATTTTAACAATCAAAATCTAATTACTATTTAATGACATACTTGTTATTCTCCGTTGTTTTGTTGGATTGTATTGTTCGACCTCTATTAGCATATGGGCTCCCCTATGCGGATGCCTCGATATTGCCTAAATGCATCCGCATAGGGGAGCCCATATGCTAATAGAGGTCGAACAGTTCAATCCAACGAAACAACGGAGAATGACAAGTATGTCAATAAATAGTAATAACTACTACCCGTTGTGCAAGAAGTGGCCGCCGTTTCTCTGTGGTATAGTGGGTAACGCCTTGGAGTTTGAGGCGGTGGGTGCGAGGTTCGAGTCCCGGTTGGGACAACACTGGGGTGCAGTTACATCCAGCTGACAAGTCCTAAATGGGACCGATGCACGTCCTGGACTCTTCTGCTGGCCACAACCAACCAAATTGTCATAATGAAGATCTAAGTAGAAAGTACTTCTACCCCAACGGCGAATGACCTTGAATAATGATTCCCGGTCTTGGCCACTTCCTAACAACATCCTTAATATCATAATATATGTGGATGAGGAGTGAAGCTGAGACAATAAGTTTAGGCGGTAGTAGAATTTAGTCTAGCACCCTATGAAGTGTCAAGTGGTTTGACCGACTTCAGTTTTTATTTCATTATTTTTCTCTTTGAAAAAATCTTATTCTTTTCTCCTATAGGTATGTCGTTCAGCATCTTCAACTGCTGAAGATAAACAAAATATTTTTGAACGTAACAAAAAATCTGAGGTAAGCATTTCTGAACTATGTGTTTCTTTTGTAACTTCAGTCGCCACTTTTATACATCTTAACCAGTGACTTGAACTATATATATGAGGACTTCTGATTCCACCCTTACTAGTCATTCAGTTTCTCCGTAAATAGAAAAGAAGGCAGTAATGGAACAGAAGGTGTATTTACAAATTCAACATCAACCAACCTGATACTTACACGTTGGTTCACGTGTTTCTTTTTTGTGTGGAAATTTCGAAGCAAAGTGATTGGTTGGAAAAGACTTTAAGCACTAGCCCTTGCACACTAAGTGTAACTCATTGCCTACTGCACAGATGTGCACAAGGTGACTGAGTGAGTTCCGTTCGTACAATAGTGTTTATTGGTTATCGAGTTCAGTTATTCTTTTTTACAGTCTACTATTCCTATGTTCAGTTTCTTTTTCTCCCCTCTTGTTTACTCACTTGACCTTCACAGCTGCTTCCTTAATAGATTGATGGTTAAAGCGGCAGAGGTAACGTGAGGTGAGAAGGGGGGGGGTTGGTACTTCGTGTAATGGCGTTCGCAAGTTTGATAACTGAAGGATTATCCCAAGTGGTGAATGAACCATTTTTCCTTGACTAGTAAGTAGTCCGTGGTTAATAATGTGCGATGCTATTCGTCAAGAATGGTTTGCATCATGGCTACCAATCATGGTTCTCAACTGGTTGCCCAATGGCAATCAAAATAGCCTTAAATCAGAAAAAGGTTAAACGCAGTCAGACTGAAACACTGCATCAGTTCCCTAGCTGTTGGTTTGGATCGAATAGGGGAATGTAAAATTCGTGGTTAGGGTCCACACTACCGCAGAACTCGATGGTTTCAAACTCTAGGTGGCACAAATGCATCCATCTATTGTCATCATCTTAATCGCTATTGTTCTATCTTTTCTTTCTTGTTTAAAACTTCTGATTACTTTTTTCTCTATTTTTCCATGTTTAGTTTGGAAACAGTAGGCTGGGTCTGTTATGTAAGGGCTTATGAGGGTGTGGAATCACCAGAATTCTGAGGGGACGGGGGTGGTTATGTTCTAACCTATGAGTTATTGGTTTACAATCAAGTTCCTAGAGCAGTGAGCCATGATGTATGGGATCTGTATTTATCACTGTAGGATAGATAATGATGTAATACTCAATCGTCAGGTTCTGTTGAAGTAACTTTTCTTTATCTGACCACTGTCTCTGACAAAAACATTATGTGGTAAGAGCTCTAGGATCAAATAATTCAGGAGGTTTCAGTTATTATGATGGATTATTATTATATTATTAGTCCCTTGGGTTCCTAATGGAATATAGGGCTTCAGTAGCACGTTTCCAGTGAACTCTGTTCTCTGAAATCTTTTGAACCTGGCTCCACAACAGCCCACAAGCTCTCATTTCATCCTCGCACGATCTCCTCCATGTCACCCTCGGACGTCCAACTCGTCGCTTCCCATGGGGATTCCACTAGAGTGTCTGGCCTGATGCATGATGTCCCCAGCCGGCCTTCTCAGTGTATTCCCAATCCATCTCCACTTCCTTCCAGTGCATATTTGTTGGGTGATAGGTTCTTGGTTGGTTCGTTGCCAGTCAACCACAGTTTCTTGTTGCTTATTATTTCTGGCTATGCCATCTGATCTTCAGTAACCAGCCAGCGTAGGTGGCAGTTGTTGATGAATGTGTGTAGTTTGTTGGAAATCCCTTTCGTAACGCGCCAAGTCTCTCAACCATACAGAAGCACTGACTTGACTGGGTTGGTGTTGAAAATCCACATCTTGTTCCACATGCTGAGTGCAGAAGATTTCCACACTGGTTTCAGGCTAATGAACGCCTGTCTTGCTTTTCCGATTCTGGCTGGCTTTGACATCCTCGTCTGTGCCTGTGGCGCCTGTAGTTGAAACAGTGCTGCCTAGATAGGTGACGGAGGTTACTTCCTTTAAGTTTCTCCCGTTCATGGCGATTGCAGCTTGTTGTTGTTGGTGGTGGTGGTGAGGTATTTTCATCACCCCTGTCTTCTCTCTACTCACTTGAAGTCCCATCTTCGCTGCCTCTTCTGTCAACTTGTTAATTTTCGCCTGTAGATCTTCACTTTTGTGTGACATCAGACACAGGTCATCGTTGGCGAAATCCAGATCTTCTAGGTTCTTTTCCGCAGTCCAGTCAGCGTATCCCCCTCTTCTCACAGCTCCCCACTGTTTGCTGCATGATCCAGTCCAGTCGACCACAATCGGGAAGATCACGGGTGATGGTAGAAAGCCTTGTTTCACTCCTGTCTTCACTTCCACTCCAAAGCATCACTGAGCTTCCCATTGTGAATTACTTGGCATGTGACATCTTCATATAGTTGTTGAATGAGATTGATAAATGTTTGCGGTACTCCGTAGAAATGAAGCAGTTTCCAAATTACTTCTCGGTCGACACTGTCAAAGGCCTTCTCAAAGTCGATAAAGTTGAGGTAGAGTTGAGTTGACTGCCATTCTATACTCTGTTCTATGATGATGCGAAGCGTTGCGATTAGGTCCGTACATGATTTGTACTTCCTGAAACCAGCCTGCCTGCCTGTTCCGGTCGTAGTTTGGAACCCAGTGTATCCTTTAGTCTCTCCAGATGATGTGGCTTAATATTTTGCTTGCTTTGGGTGGACAGGAGAGTGATTCGGCGCCAGTTCTTGCAAACACTGAGGTCTCCCTTCTTCAGGAGTTTGACAAGGTAAACCTTCTTCCAATCAATGGCCAGGTACCTTCCCTTCCTTCCACACCTTCTGCAATAGTGGTGTGAGCATGTCTGCTGTTGTCTCTGCGTCTATTTTCAGTGCTTCTGGTGGGATCCCATCTGGTCCTGCTGCTTTCTCACATTTCAGTAGCTTTATGGCGTGGCATTCAGGACTTCAATTTTTGTTGGAAGATTTATGTTCACTTGTAGTTCTGTGACTGGGCTGCAGGTGGTATTTCTGGACGAAGTGCAGGTGGTGGTGGTGGTCGATTTAAGAGCTTTTTGAAGTGGTCGGCCCATTGTTTTCTTTGTTTCTCTTCTTTCGTAATTAAATTTCCTTATTCATCTTTTATTGGTTTCGTCTGCGTTGATCTCTTCCCTATGAGATAGCAACCTGGTTATTTGATACAATGTTGTCAGGTTTCTCTTACCTGCAGCCTGTTCTGCTTCACTTGCCAGTGTTTCGTAGAAGTGTCTTTTGTCTTTGCGTGCACTCTTCTTCACTTCTTTGTCCAGTGTTTTATACATTGTACTCAGTTCCTGTTGTCGTTGAGCATTCTTGCACTGGTTTATCGTCTGCTTCACCATCCTCCTCTTTTCTATCAGTGTTGATTGCAGTTTTCTGTAAAATTCCTCCTTCTTTTCTTCGTCTGCATTATTTGTAGGTGGTAGCGTGGGATTGTATGTTTGTGACCTTCCTTCCTTTTGAGTTGAACCCTGCTGTTATGATCCTGGAGGAGATTGGTTCCCACTGCATGAGAGCCTTCGATGCTCTTAGGGACATCATGATAGCTATTCCGAAACCCAGTGTGCTCGTGTTTGTCGTCTGGGTGACTGGAGTAGATTACTGACTCTCAAGTTGACAGTTTGGAGAGTCCACTCCCATTCCATCTACTTTCGCGAATTTCAAGCACTTCAATGTGATACCTTCTCATCTCTTTTGCAATCTAGGCAGCCTTACTAGGTTCAAGCATAGTGCGAACATTTCATGTCCCTATGTTTACTTTTGCTTTCATCGAGGGAGAGAAGACACATCGGCCAATTGGCTTCCCGAAGGCTTTCACCAACTGGCGTCATTTCACCTCTCCGATTCCAGCGAGGAATAATTTTGTTATTATTTTTTATATTTCGTTTGTGCTTTGAAGTTTCTTTAGCGGTTAGATTTGTTTTAGGGGGTAGGGTTGCTAGTCCTATGCCCAACCTCCCTGTTTACCCGGGCTTATGACCGGGTAGTAGCTAGTGAACTAGTTAACCAGGCTAGGTTTATTATGATGGATAAAGCTGATTATTAATGATCGTAATGACCGAATTAATGGGTATATGGTTGATCAGTTACGTTGACTACCATTGCATCTTCAAAGTACATTCATCATTTGAGCTGATTATTTATAATCAGTTAAAGCATAGTCCCTTTCACTTACTCAAAACTTGAAACTAGATAAACTGGATTATTTTCTCTGTTCATTTTTAGCGTTTAACTCAACTACTTCGAAGTCGTAATCCAGCTGATCTACGTGAAGCAAACGCACTCATCAAGAGTATAGTAGAAGAGGTAAGTTGAAGTGTTTTGCATCAGATCAATTATCTGATAAGTCTCGTAAGAAAAAAAGACAAAGTAATACTGAACTTTTTCTGTCTTTTACTAGCATCCAATTAAGTTTTTTGAAGACTTACTGTTAGAGATTGAGATTTTATAACCACAGGATTCTCTTTTAAATGACATTGTGAAGGTGTGTTTATACTACGAAATTAATGATGCCAGCTGGTAGTCCACATCTCGCTAAGTGTAGCAGGGTTCGAACCCATGACTCGTCGATTAAAAATCGTGCTTAGACCAATGAGCCATAGCTGTGATAGTTATCTACTCCCACCTCAGTAGGTAATGGCATGCTAAAATTGATGTTTATTCGTCGCCAAACAAAGTGAAATTCAAAGTGAATATCTAAGCATACCCAATGTCAATTCAGTACTTCTATGTGATGGTTGAGAAACTTGGCGTGTTACGAAAATCATTTCCAACAAACTACAGAATTACATGAATAGCTGCCGCCAACACTCATTCGATACTGAAGATGGCGATCAGATGGCCAGAATAATAAGAATAAGCAACAAGGAACTGTGGCTGACTGGCAACGAACCAAGAACCTATCGCCCAACAAATATGATGTAGAAGAAAGTGGAGATAGATTGTATTGGACATACACTGAGAAGGCCGACTGGGGACATCACGCATCAGGCCAGGCCATCGAGTGGAACCCCAATGGGAAAGGATGAGTTAGGCGTCCGAGACGAGGGTGACATAGAGGAGATCATGTTAGGAAGAAAGGTAAGCCTGTGGGCAGTCGTGGAGCGAGGTTCAAAAGACTGCAGAGAAGAGAGTGGAATGGCGGCGTGCTAGTGAATCCCTATGTTTTGACTGGGAACCCAAGGAAAAAAAATAATCCAAGCATACGTTTCAAGAAGGCAATTTGCTAACAGACGATAATCAGCTTGATCCAGTAAAATCATCACTGAGAATATGCAAGAAGTTGGTAGGAATTATGGGCAAAGGGGACAAAACTTGTGTTCAGCGTCCTACTGCTAGCAAGTATATTAAAATATTGTTTATGACTTATCCACAGGGTTTAAAGACTGTTATGCATATGAATATCAGCAGACTTTGTGTTTTAGTGGTGGAAAAATTCTAATATGGATGTTTCGATCACATTCTTATTATGCAAATATGATCTTTAACCCTCTCTCTCCCTCTCTCCCCTCAAACACACATGTCTATTTCGGAATGAAGTGTGTGATATATGCTTGTAGTAGTTTAGTAGTGAAGCATTGATCAACATTTTCTACCCGGGTGTCTTTGAAAAACTATTATTATTATTATTATTATTATTATTATTATTATTATTATTATTATTATTATTATTATTATTATTATATAAGAAGACTGAAGTTAATTGAGAAATGACATTGTTCAGAAAATATGTTTCCCTGTGACAATATTTTGTCAAATTGATTACAATGTAGTTTACTAAATACTACTCTTATTTCTTTGAATAGTTTCTAAACACTATTGACTTTTGAGTAATTTTCATGTAGTCAATATGAATTACATTGTATTGTGCGATAGGCGTAAATTCTAGCATTTCAAAGTGTATATTTTCATCTGATTAATTAACTCCGATCAGAGTTTAAGTTATTATCATATGATGGTGTAATAACACAGCAATAAATAGCACCTTAAGATTAAGATATTACTTGCTTAAAGCTGCATCCTATCAAATAGAATATTACATAATATGAATCATCTTATTGAAGGCTGTCTACTTGAACACTTGTGGGTGTGTTAAAGCCTATTGTGAGAAATTCGAGGAGCTGTACTCGTCGAGTGGTGTCCGTCAAGGTTGCCCACTGTCTCCATTCTTATTAAATTTTATCATAGACATAGAGATTGACCTAATCGCGGGAAAATTTTCGTTAGACCTAGAATACTCAGATGACATAATCAGTCCTGTTGGGTAAAGACACTGACAAGGTGCAGAGTCTTCTGAACACTTTGAGTGGGAATTTGAGAATGTTTGAGATGTGTTACTCACCACCGAAATGCAGATTGTTGCTCCAGGATTAGTCTTCAACACTGCCTCGGCTAACAATAGACAGTGTAGTGGTTGAATGTGTCGACCACTTCACTTAACTGCGAAGTGATGTAGGATCAGCCGAGACCTTGTGGGTCAGTGGCCGATGAAGTTTGTGCACGACTTCTAAAGACTCGGTTGGCTTTTGCCAACTTACGCCACCTGTGACGCCGCCATGATATCCGATTGTTGTCTATTAAGCGTGGTGTATACTGCACCTGGACAGCAGTCCGCTGCGTCCTACTGTATGGCTGTGTAACATGGCCATTGAAGGTAGAAGATATGAGAAGGCTCCAGGTGTTTGACCACGGCTGCCTTCCTAGTATATACCATACTCCGTGGTGGCACCATATGAGGAACGCAGAAGTCAGGTGTGGAGTTTAAGACAGGAGAGTTAAGATAATTGATGCGCATTTGAACCTTGATCGACAGACATAGCTGAGACGTGTGTTACGTATACCTAACCACTGTGTGTCTTGTCGCACAATGTTAGCCGAAGTAGGTTGAGGCTGGAAAAAGGCTCTTGGCTTTCAGCCAGACTAAAACATGGGATCAATGTATGAAGTGTTCGACTGTTGGTTTGAGTTAGGTGGGTCGATTCAGATTAGCCGGTTGGGGTCGGCGAGACAAGAGAAACTGGGGTTGGAGACTGTACGTTGTATGACTCGGAACCGATATCAGTGGCGCAGATGTATGCATACATTACCCTCATCTTAACGCTTTGTCGAATCTCCCATTTTATCATTCTTCCTTTCTCTCTTTTCGTACTTTAAATTTCTGTTAACTGAATTTCCTTTTCTTCATCTTCCACTTCACTACCTTTTCACTTGATGTAGTGATATGAGGTGTGGCAAGTTGGACCGTTACGCGGTAATGCCTAGTCCTATGTTGATGGATGATGATGCTACAATGCTCTAGGTACATTGATGAATCACTGGGGTGGGGGTGGGTAACCAGTTTCATGTTATCAAGTCCTATGTGCTGATCGAATTCTGTCGATCATTTTGCAATGTGGTCACCGGACTAGGAGACTCACCATCGTGATGTACTGAGAGATATTTTAATTAAATGGAGACAGTCGGCAGGAAACCCTACTCGACCTAGGTTTCGTACGTTTTGGCACTCGTCAGCAAGGCGTATCTACAACTTCGAGGGAAGTGATGTCCTGCCTGACGTCACACAGTGCTACAGTCAGCGACGTCACCACTCAGCTGTCCGGGCCTTGATTGACCTCCTACTGAACTGGATTGCATACTGCAGCACTTTGTGATATGGGTTCGGATCTCAGGTGGGACATCAGTTCAGTCATGGTTGCAGATACACCTCGCTGAGGAGTGCCAACAAGCACAAAACCTAGGTCAAGCAGGGCTTCTTGCCGATTGCCTCCATCCAACTAATACATCGAATCCTACCAGTTCATATTTCTTTCTTCAGTCAAACAGACGAATCAACGTAGAATCTTGCACTGAAGTGGACAGAAAAACAGTGATATTAGGGTAAACGAATGTGTATGGAAGGTAATGAAGATATTCAAAACTTTGAAGATGATGAAGGGCATATGCATCTGTGCCGTAGTGACTGATTTTGAGATATATCATCGAGTGTTCAGCCGTTCATCCCCATTGTCTTGAAGTCCCCAGCCACTTTGCCTAAACTTCTCAATACGGTTCAGATCAGCTCTCAGAAACATCACCAACTGGTGTCACATCTTGCTCTAACCACCCTAAGCCTTCTTCCAGCCCGTTCTTACTTGAGCTTACATTGCATGTCGAGGCAGGTGGTGCCTTCGCATGCACAGCATGTATGTATCCAAGTCACCTTAGTTGTTGAAAGCTCACAATCTTGTCAATTGACCTAAATTCTTTGTCCAGTACTCTACGTCTAACTTCGACATTCTTGACATGGTGCTTCCACCACACACGAGCCATTCAAGACTAGTTGCCGTATGTTGTTAAAGGTTATGTAGAAAATGTAAATGTTATAACTGCTGAATATCTTTGCAGTTGATTTTGTAAATTATTTTTGTCCCATCTTCCCTTACCAATGGACCTTTTAGTTTATGCAGAATCTTCTACTGTGGTTTCGTTGGCTTGTGTGCCACTCCAATCCTGATTAAATGAAGTAACATTCATGTCAACCTGAAACATTTCCCTCTTCTTCATAAAGCTATTGCTGATGATGTCACCAAATGTGGTGATGAAACACCTATGGTCAGATAAAAAAAATTCCAGCCTATAGCTGCTACCTTGACATGCTGACCGGACTTGTATATCAAATAACCCAATGAAATACACTGGCTGGAACGCTTTTTCCATCGAGGTCCTATCATTCTAGAAAGGTCTGATCAGACGAAGTGCAGTTACCATTAGTATAAAGTTTTACGCCATGATGTGGGTGAAGGGCGAAGTCGTACTGCTGGCTGACTGGAGTGTGACAGCAGTAAAATGTTTCTCTTGGATAACCATCAGTACCATGTTGATGCTGCCTTTCCTGTGAGTGGGGTGGGGGCTAAGAAAGGTTAGCTCCCAAATTAGCACACTCCCTCCTGCCCTGTGATCTTCTGGTGCCAGTGGTACGGGTTTATCCTGTCTGCGGTATTGCAAATAAATCTCAAACCCACATTTCTAAAGAGGTTGTATGTGACAGGTCTCAAGCACATACCTCATGGGCTCTGGGGTCACAGAAATCTTCTCTTTCAGCTACCTTGCAGAAACAACGTCCCCAATGTGATCGACCGGGAAGTACCAGCTTTCCGTACGCCTCCATGAGTGTATAAAACCAAATAAAACATAACCTACCCTCCTTACTTTATTCTTCTCTCTGGACTTCACTTCCTGATATTAATATTAAGACTCTTACAACTTTGTCGACACTGCGACCATTGCTAGAGATCTGGGTCAGCGGAATACAATTCTTACTCTCTTAACATCACTCTGTCGACTTCACATTGGGGCTTCCCACGTTCAAACGCTATGCCAAATCAGACAGTAGGCATCACTCGCCACAGTTCTGCAATCTCGAGTTATGGATGTATACTGTGTTTCTGAGACAGGTATATGTGACCCTCACCTCGCCTAACCAGTACGGTGAATTTTAAAAATTCACTTTACATGTGTCTGAAGATTGAGTGACTAGCTTTGTGTGATGTATAACACAGTGATACAGCAAACATTATTGCTCATAATCATGTCTCGAACGGATACCAGTAAACAGCCATCTGTATTCTGTTCAACCAAATGGATAATGAGACTAACCGATGCTTATTCATGACCTGCATCTACGCATTTATTAACTGCAGTTTGGACTAATCAAAAGATGAATTCTGTCGAAAACTGTCAATTGACAGCTAAATGAAGCAGAACATTCAGATGTAGTCATGATAGCAGACAACTTCAAAGCTTAAGTAAGGAAGCTGAGCCAGTCGTAAAGGCATGTAGAAGGTATCTACGGTGTCCCACGCAAACGTACCGACAACGGTGTTCGTCCGTTGCAATTTTGTCCTAAAAATCGCTTGTTTCTGGCCAGCACTAACTTCAAGTATTAGAAGAGACTCTGTATTACGTGGCGTCCACTGACTTTAAACCAACAATGGATGCAGATAGATCATATTGATATATACCACTGTTGAAGAGCATTGGTTTAGGATTGCCACCTATTCTGTCGTCCGTTTTGGGCACCAGTCACCCATTAGTACGGCCACATGTGTCTGCGCCCTTACTGGTGGCGGAAAACAGGCGGCGGTTTGGTCCATACGTGCTCGATTAGAAGATGAGAATATCAAGTACGTATTTAAGGAGGAAATAGCTATGCATCTCTACTAACTTGACATCAATCCTCAACCTGATCACATCTGGAGTGATATTCAGTCTGCTGCAGTTTCAGCACTACATACTACATCCAAAGGTTAGTCAATGCCAGCGGATTTCCGTAATGTCATCCGAACTGATTGTTGCGAGAAGCTTAATTCCAGCTATCTATGACAACAATGAAAAGCGAAAGCAACTCAAAGGTGAATTAGCTAAGGATCTTTGCAATGACCGCGAGCAGTGGTTGGTGGAAAAAACGAAAGAGACGGAGAAAGCATCAGCATTGGGTAATAATAACTCCACAATTATTTAGGTTTATGAAGGATAATGACAAGAAGAAGGCAATGGTAAGCGAGACCATCACCGATGAGGATTGGACACTGATAAGTTCTCAGGCCAAGCAGCGTAAACGTTGGACGGGATATCGTAAAGCCTAGTTCAACTAAAACGCAGCAACATTTCAGTTGGCCGGTATCCATCCCGTTCCTGAATGAGATGTAGCTGTCGATCCTCCAACTCTCCTCGAAGTCAAAAAGGCTGTTTCGAACACGAAACAATGCAAAGTAGTAGAACCTGACTATTTAACACCAGACGTTTTTGAGGATGGAGGTAGAAAATTAGTGATTAGATTTACTGCGGTTTTAAGTAGTTTATGAGAATCTGAGGTAGTCCCATTAAAATTGTCTACGAGACTGATGCTTCCAGTTTATGAGAAGAGAGGCAGATCAGCTTAAACTACAAGGTGTCGATGATCCTAAGGAGCCTAGTTACCCGACGCCTAACTGGAGCTAGAGAACAACAAGCTAGAAGAAAGCCAGGCAGGTTTCAGACCTGAACGAGGATGCATCGATCACACTATCACTCTCCGACAGGTCCTGGAACACAGGCATACCTACCGGCCGATGGACATATTTCTTGACTTGAAGATGGGATTTGACTGTATCAACCATGGGGTGTTGTGGCAGTGTCTGACTGTGAAGGGAGCTTCGAGCAAGTATATCACTCTAATCGAAGCTCTGTATTCAAACCGACACAATCGTGTTTAAGGGCTTCGTGAGAGTTGTCATGTGAAGTGACAACGACTAGTAGTATCCTTCATGTCTTTCCCCGTCACCGTTCCTGCTCAGCTTCGTCATAGATGTGCTAATAGACATAACCTTAGTTACTTCTAACTTCACAGGAATTGACCTACTCTCTAAAGAGCTTTTGGCTGACTTGGAGTACGCAGAAGATATTGTTCTGTTAGTTGAAAATGCTGATAATGTGTAGGGTCTTCTGAACGCGTTGAGCAAAAATCTGAGTATGTTTAGCATGCATTTTGCAACTTTCAGATGTAAGATGATGCTCCAGAACTGGTCTACTGCAAGTACTCCCACTTTAATGATAGGGAGTAAACTGGTATACTGCGTTGCTTCTGTCACTTGGTAAGTTGCGTCTGCACGGGCGAACTGGTTGCTGATAGAATATCATCTCTGACATGGTAAACCCGTTTGACATTTGCGGGCTTGCATCATCTCTGACACCAGTGAGATATTCGACTGCTTGTGTATACTGCGCTGCAGCTCACTCTTTCTTATTATACGGCTGTGAGAGGTAGCTGTTAAAAATGAAAGATGTGAAGAGGTTTCAGATTTTCGAATACACGTATGTCATGAAGTTGTGAACCTTCAGTGACTGGGCTGGTTTGATTATGCGTTGCGCATGCCAAGCCATCGCCTACCTGGAAATGCGATGATAGCAGTAATTGGCTTGGTTTGGGTCACCAGACCAAGACGTGGCACTAGTCCATGACGTCTCTGACTGTTAGTATGAGTCATATTGGGAGGCTTAGATCACCTAGTAGGGGCTGTCGGGATGATGGGAATCAGTGTTTAAGGATTTTTGTTGACTTGATTGAAAGTTGATCACAATGGTGCAGATGTATTCTTTCTTCGATGTTTTCTAATGCCTGAATATTTCCACGAACTTTGATTTTCAAATTCTTTTTCATCTAACACCTTTGCTTACTTTGATATGAGTCTTTTTCTTTGCGCCATACTATGCAATGTGGCAACATGTCTGATTCACTTTAATGCAAAGTTCTATATTGGTCTTATGTGTATGTTTGTCTATTGACTAATTTGTCATCCTTTACTGTATATACTGTTATTTATTATATGAAGTTGAATCACTAACGATGTCCTTCTACAAGAGAAGGATGTACTGAAGGCAGTGGCTTTCATTTATCTGTAACATTCTCATTGTTTAGTTCGATTGGTCTTGTTACATTGTTCTTGGACAAATGAAGGTGTTATGGAGAAAAAATCACTACCAATCCTTTCCGACTTATGAATACCTAAAGCAAAATGTGGTTGAGTTTAGTCTATGCTATAGGTTGTAAAATATGAGAAATTTCACTCATTAGGTCAACTCAGCATATCAATATTATTGAGGTCTCACCAACTGACATCAGTTGGAGGACTAGGAGTGTTGGACAGCTGTTTCGTCCTACTACAAGATTCATCAGCATTGTGGACCCGTGAATCCACTAGGGATCTCAGTTTGTGATGAATACCAACCTGAAATCAAAAAATAAGGATCGGTTGCTGTCTCGGTCAATGAAATTTGATTAACCATGTTGTTTTAGGCATGCCAATTATTATTGAGCTTAACATTGTTTTACGTCTAATAAAGTGGTTCTGTTTGAATCCCCGTAACTCAATCATAACACCGGTTATAAATTTTTTGTCAATTCTAGGCAGAGCATGCTTAACGGTACATTTTTCATATTTATCACTGTACTACTCTTGAAATGTTTCAGTAGGCGAAGTTTTAAGTATGACTTACTCGTCATTAGAATAACTGGTTGTATTATAGCCGTCGTTGATTGGACCTAATTGATCGGTCTGTATTGGCATATGGGTTTCAGTGCGGATACCTCGACATCATTTTTTAATTTTATTCTGTCCTCTGGGTTCCCAGTGGAACATAGGGTTTCAGCCTCGATATTACCTGTGTTCTAATTATAGTAAAGGTGGATAATGTCTAGCAGTGGAATTCAGGATGCGCATTTCGTCCTATTTGGGACTCGTCATCTGTATGTACCTGCCTCCCAGTGAGAGATGTTGTCCCCACCTTCGCACAGGAAGAAGCTATCATGGTCCAGTGGTGTAGCGAATAACGCTTTGGCGTTTGAAGCAATCGGCCTCGAGTCCGAATCCCGATAGGGACAACATGACTCACTGGGAAGCAAGTACATCCAGCTGACGAGTCCCAAATAAGATGAAATGTGCATCCTGGATTCCACTGGTAGCCACTTTCCATCTTTACCATAATATTCAACATTATCTTGTTAGAATGCAATAAACTTTAGATTCTTCTTATATCGCTTTTGTCTTTATTTTGAAGGACCAAGTTCGTATGGAAAAAGTGAGTCAGAGGTCAAGTGAAATGGAATCTTTAAGAAATAATACACTATTGTTAGAAGAAATGATAGGAACTTATATGCTTGGTGAAAGTACAGATGCTGAACTGGAATTAATGAGCGTAAGTCAACCACTGTGCTTCATGCCTAAAATTCAATCATTTATGAGTTAAAGTAGGACTGTTGATGTTCAACATAAATCTCATTCATTGTAGTGATTCCACAGGTTGATTTAGTGATGACAACCAGAATTCATATAGTTTTGTACAATTCATAACTACAGAGAATGGAATACACTTATTCACTGAGAACAGAATTTGTTATATTGGCGAAAATGTTTCCACATTTAAAAATGTTGACAGAAAAACACTGTTTCACTATGCCAGCTGTAATATGCCATCTCTTATTATATCAGTGTTATGTGATCGATATAGGGCTATTGGTGTAGATTCATAGAATATGTAGTTCTTTCCGTCTAGTCAAATTCACCTTGACTAATTATTAGTCTTTAATAAGAACTTTCTGTCTAATATCGCACAAACTCGAAGATCAACAGACAAAAACTAACAAGTTGGTACAAGAGGCGAGGCAGGGCAGCGAAGACGGGATTTCCTTCTGGTGAACGTGGTGAAGACACAGGTGATGAAGATCCCAACCAACAACAAGCACCAATCACCATCAACAGAAGAAATCTAAACGAAGTTGTCCCTTTCACCTACCTACCTAGGCAGCATCGTTTCAACTATACGCAGCACAGGCACAGGTGAAGATGTGAAAGCCAGGATCGGAAGGACAGCAAGATAGGCCATCTTTCATTAATCTGAAATAATCAGTGTGGAGATCTACTGCACTGCACTCCATTGCACTCAGCATAAAGCGTGAACAAGATCCGGATTTTCAACATTAACGTCAGTCAAGTCAGTGTTTCTATATGTTGGTTGAGAAACTTGGCGTGTCACGAAAATCATTTCCAACAAACTACAGACTTACATGAATAGCTGCCGCCTACACTCATTCGATACTGAAGATGGCGATCAGATGGCCAAAATAATAAGAATAAACAACAAGGAACTGTGGCTGACTGGCAACGAACCAAGAACCTATCAACCAACAAACATGCTGAAGAAGAAAGTGGAGATAGATTGTATTGGACATACACTGAGAAGACCGTTTGGAGATATCACGCACCAGGCCAAGCCGTCGAGTGGGACCCCAATGGGAAAGGACGAGTTAGGCGTCTTAGACGAGGGTGACATAGAGGAGATCGTGTTGGGAAGAAATGAAAGCTTGTGGGCAGTGGTGGAGCCAGGTTGAAAAGACTGCAGAGAAGAGAGTGGAATGGTGGCGTGCTGGTGAATCCTTATGTTCCACTAGGAACCCAAAGGACAAATAATAGTAATAATACTAACTTTCATGCATATTCCAGTTTGTAAGAGCTATAACAATGTTTTGCCTGTATGTTTTTGTTGTACTACCACTACTAACGTGGTCACTAGATAATTTGATAATAGTAACCACCATAAAATTTTATAACGGAATACTTACTTCCCCTTCAACTATTCCCATTGATAGTTAGTAGATGAAATTGTTGTCAAGTTGAATCATTTGTTGACTGAATCAAAGTAGTTTAAGACTAGATTATAATCAAGGCTAAAAAATGAGGAGATAATATGGTAAAATTTAAGCCAGGCAATTTAAAGAGGGTCAACAATTAAGTGCATCGAAGATGATTACAACATCGATCATAATCAACATAGTGTATTGCCAGTTGTATCCCAAGTTGATACACAATTTGAACATGTTCATTGAAAATACACATCAATCGAAACTACTGTTATGTGGAGATGATTAACAATCTTTATTGTAAGCCTATCCTTCCTTGGTAACTTGACAATCTTTAGTCCCCATAAAGACTATTATTATTACGTCATAGTCATAACACATAGACACAACCGTTGGTATCAATTTTTACTGTTTTGATTTCAAATAGGAGTTGACGGAAAATATACGCAGAGCACGTCCATTGTTATACAGTTTTTCCCTGACTCATGAAGAACAAGATATGGAAACATTAAGTGAGTTTTATTTGTTATTCATTCCATTGTTCCATATTGAAGGTGTAAAACGAAGATGAATTTCTTTTTGGAGGTTTGGTTTTTTTTAATCGAGTGTCTGCTAGGGATGACCAATATCACCACTCCTATTCAACTTCATTATAGACATACTAATGGATGTAACCTTAGGTACGTTTGACTTCACTGGTATTGACCTATTCCTGAAGGTCATCTGGTTGATTTGGTGTGTGCAGACAATATTGTCGTGCTAGGTGGAAACCCTGACAAACTTCAGGGTCTTCTGGATGTATTGAGCAGAAATATTAGTATATTTGTCCCTTATACGTATCGCATCTGTCAAATGTAAAATAATGGTGGAATGTGTCGACCACTTCACTTGTGGAGTTGGGTCAGCCTGAACGGCTTGGTTGCTGGCGAAATCTCAACTCGGATACAAAAGGCCTGTTTGACTTTTACCAACTTGTGTCATCTGTGGCACCGACTGGTGGCACATCCAACTACCTATCAAAGGACGAGTATACTGCGCTACAGTACGTTCTGTTCAGTTGTACGGCTGTTAGTCATGGCTGGTAAAAGTAAAAGATATGAAGCTATTACAGATGTTTTGGTAGCATTTCTCGCGTTTAGTGGAATCACCATGTGGGCAGTGTTGAGGTCAGGCAAAGGATACTAGGCAAGGAGGACAAATCGATTGATGAGATTGTGAACCTTCATTATCTGGATAGCTTAGACATGTACTGCACATACCGAGCCATTGCCTACCTCGATGTACCATGTCAGAGGAAGCTGGATTAGGTTGAAATAGGGTCCAGGGTGGTCAAACCAAGACATGACACTAGTCGTTGAAGTCTCCGACTGAGGATATGAGGACTAGTTGTCTTACTGGGGTCCCCAAGACGATAAGAATCAGTGGTTGAGGATTCCTTGGTGACATGGCTGAAAGGCGACCACAGTTGCGCAGATATATTCACTCCTTGACATCTAAAGCTTGTATATTCACACTAACCGTTATCCTCAGACTGTTTATTCTCTTACACAACTTTGACATCACTCTTATTCTCTCCGCCTTTTCTTTGTATACTGTTGTGAAGTGTGGCAACTTAAACCGATACACTTGTGTGCGAGGTTCTATGTTGATTTTGTCCGTTTTATTGATTTCAAGTTGGTTTTCATCATGGAATGACATCATTTAGAGAACCATTAAAAACCTAATCGTTGGTGACATATTTTGAGATGAGTTTTCCCGAAGTACTAATGAGAAGTTGTAATTGATAGGGCATGCCAAGTCGAACACGAAGACAAAGACTCAATAAAAGGATTGGATGAACGTCGCGATATATATTAAACTGAAAGAAGTAAGAAAACATGATGCATTGGGTTCCGACCTAGTGTCTCAATGGTAATGTGCTGACGGCGGAACCTGAATGTCCAGGGCTTGATCCTTAGAGGAGTCATGGGTGCGCACTGCTGGGGAGTCCCGTACTGAGACGAAATGACTGTCCATTGCTTTCATTTTGCAATGGGGGTCAGTTGGTAATGAATATCAACTTGAAAAATGAATTTGTTAGATTGTCCGTGTATTTTGAATTTAATTGTACACCGATCAGTAATGTACTGCGATGTTTTGAAGAATTCCATAATTGAGAACGTCCTTGTCTTCCATACTTCTAGTCATGCCGATTGATATTGTATCATATCACCGGAAGTCCTCAATCATTGATCCTTATGGTCTTTGAGACCGCAGTCAGGCAGGGTATACATGGTTCACACTAACAGTTAGAGAATTGATGAATTGATGCCATTTCTTGGTCTGGTCACTTTTGCTTTTCATGTAACCCAATCTCCTACTTTGTGTAGCATTGCACATCGAGAAAGATCGTTACTCGATATCGTCAGCATATATTGAAACGATCTCATTTGGTGAAGGTTCACAACCTCATCGACTCGCTTTCTTTGCCTCACCTTGACATTGCTCGCACAGTGGTCTCACACTATGCAATGCTACGAAAACTTCTGTGGTGGTTGAGAACATGTAGTTTTTTTATATCTTCTCTCAAGCATCATGTGTCCTTCGATAACTAATCTGATATCTTGTTGCAGCTGTAAATGAGAAACCTTTTTGAACTGAGATGAGATTCCATCAGCAACCAACCTATTGGAGCTGATGAGGAAGCTATCCATGCTGTTGTTATCTGTATAAACCGTCAACCGGCTGCTGAATCCACAATTCAATTATACAAAGTTTTACTCGGTAAATATCTAAAAACTGTCCCACTACTACCTTCTAGTTTTGGTTCGTTGTACACTATTTGTTGTAGTTGTTATTACTCTTGAGATGCTAATAATTTCTGCCATGTCATTATTGTGACAATTTTTCATGTCAATTAGCAATAATATCAGTTGCTGTAAAAAGTGAACAGATTTATCATGATCCAGTTTGAGTTAATGTAATGCATTGGTGTTCTCTTTCTCTGAGTTTCACATAAATATCATGATTGTGGACAAACCAGCTGATAAACAGATTGACTATATCAGTAAATAAAGATGAGATTGTAGGAATACTAAATTCGCTAGACTGTAGCGCTATATGAAACAAGTCATGACATATCTGTCGAAAAGATACACAGTCAAACAAGTGCCTTGATTTCGATTCAGCTCTTCCATTAGAAACTAAGTTAAACGTTACCAAAAATCTTTTGACGAGAGCATAAAAGGCACCAAATAAAGTGGAATCTCAGTAAGCAGATAGGCATTTTGTTTAGGAAGTCTTCAAACTAAATAACTCTCCGGAAAAGCAATTAAAAAAAGGATCAAAAAATGAGACGAAAAACCAAGTTATAAAGATTGGATAATTACTATGGTACTTCCTTATTGAACATCCACATCAGAGGAAATAGGACGTATCTTTAATATTATCTCAAGGTTTGTGGAAGGTTTTACTAATTGATTTTAGGTTGGAATTCATGGTGGACTGACATCAGTTAGAGAAACATTGGAAACCTGAGAGTACTAGACAGTTGTTTCGTCCTAGTATGAGACTCAGGATTATGCACTCATAACCCCACAAGGGGTCGAACCCAGGGCCTTTAGATTCCGTGACCAGCACGTTGCCATTAGGCCACTGGGTTGGAATCCAATGGTTCATATTTCCTACTTCTATTAGTTCACGACAGATGAGCAGTCCCATACTAGGACGAAACAGCTGTCCAGTGCTCCCAGGTTTCTAATGTTCCTCCAATTGATGTCAGTCCTCGATGAATACCAACTTGGAAAATCACTAAATGCCCACAAACCCCCAAATGCAAACTATATTCTGGTTGATGAATTGGCATGTCTCTGTCTACCGTAGTGTCTTCCTTTGTTGCGTAGCCTGAAGGTCCTGAGTTCGATCCCTGGTGGGGTCATGGGTGCGCAATGCTGAGGAGCCTCATACTAGGACGAAACAGCTATCCAGTGCTGACAGGTTTCCAATATTCCTCTAACTGATGTCACTTCATGATGAGTATCCTAAATAGTTACAAGATCAGAGTATTCTTTAAGGTGATGAACATATTACAGTCACAACTGTGTAAATTAAAAGATCCGATTCCCCTATTCGGAACAACAGAACTGTGTTTATAAGATGGTAGACTGTAGTGAATACAATGTCACATACATTGAAGAAATATCACGTCAAGTAGTAACACGTCTAACCGAAGACGATGAAAATTGCAAGAAACCAGCAAAAAAATTCCTGATTTGGAAAAACTTGAAAAAAGCTCTTCCATTGTGGCTCATACCTTATATCTAGATCATAAAATATCATTGTAAAAGGCGAAATTATTGCAAAACAGTTTTCTTCCTCAAAAAGAGTGGGCCATTGTAGGAACTTTGCCTATCTGTTTGTACCCTTCTTTGGTCAACAGAATAGATAGGTTAGACATCCTACAAATATGGGAAACATTAATGACTCGTATAAACAGTCCCAAGTAATATAGGAAGAGAAGGTGGAACATAATTTCATTTCACTGTATTCCACATGATTCATTCCGAATTTATTCATGCTTGAATAGTTTCCGGTGTTATTTCACTTAATAGTCTTCATCACGTCAAAAAAATATTGGTTGTATTTTAACAATTCGTTTAATCCTATTACATAATACCTTATTCTTCTACTATTTTTATCAGTTTTACTCACCTTTCTGAGTTACATACATTTTATTGATTATCTTTTCACTATCAGAGATAGCTGTAGTTTGTCAGACTAGTATTTATACTGGGTGATGAAGATGAAGTGGAAATTTTGACTACGCCCGGATTCGAACCGACTACCATTGGATTTCAGGCCCGCTGCTCTACCAACTGAGCTGCTGACTAGATTTTGATTTCAATCCAATCACCAAGGATTTGCTCAACTACCATGTGAATTCATGACGCGTTACTATCGTTTGATTGTACTTACACATTGGCTGCTCACTGACGACTTCTCATCCTAATCGAAATGTAACTGAATTAGAGGGAGGAGGAGCATCATACTGATTATTATTCTTGACTATCTGAGATAGCCATGGTTCAGCAGACTAGTATTCATATTAGGTGATGATTGAAGGTGAGATGAAAATCTGGCCGAATTCGAACCAGTAACCACCGGATTTCCGGCTCGACACTCGTAACTCAATTGGAAACCCAGTGGTCGCTGGTTCGAGTCCGGCTGCCGTTCAAAATTTGATCTCGCCTTCAATCATCACCAAGTATAAATTCCTATGACCTAAAAAAACTTGATAAAAGCTCTGCCATCCCGGTTCGTGCCTTATAAAATGAAATATCATAAAATATCATTCGAATAGACGAAAGTCCCTCAAAATGATTTTCTTTCTCATAAAGAGCGGGATATTGCAGAAGCTGTACACATCTGTTCTTATTCTTCTTCGGTCAACAGAAAAGATGGGTTAGACATTCCACAAAATTTCCATTTCACCTTCAATCATCAACCAGTATCAGTTCTAGTCTGCCAAACTACGACTATCTCAGACAGTCAAAAAGATTATTTAAAATATGTAAATTATTTGTAAACTTTATTTTCAAGTTGCAAGCTGTATTGATCTCATTATGTTTTAATGTGTTAAATGAATGAAGCAACTGTCTGATGTTTGCATCAATCTGATCTAGTTAATATGTAGTGTGGATCATCTTGACTATTTTCTAACTCCTTGTATTATTCAAAAGGTTAATCTTTGAGTTTTTGAAGATTAACACTATTTCTGTCTGTCTGTCTGTCTATCGAATATGAGAAGCATCGGGATTCAGTGCTACACCTCAGTTATAATAATATATTTCATACAACATAAGTTACATGAAAACAAACCAGCTTACAGGTTTGATCATTTTGGTAATGTGAACTGACTGTTATGTACAATATCAGGCTATACAATAGATACCGTTTTTCCCGGCACATAAAACATACGTCTAGAGCAAGAATGTTAATGCTTCGCAGACAGTAAAGAATGAAACAGTTAAACACCAGCATAATTGTTCATCATACTGAAGCAAGCTCAGTTCGAAAGTAGGAATTATTCGGGCTATTGTTTGAATCTTCCAATATTCGTGAAGGTAGAGTGGGTAGTACAGCCGTGACCTTGGGTTGTATGCATTCGTCATAAGGTTTTGATGGCTTAGTGCACGCTGACAAATTAGGATTCCATATGAATGAAGGACTGGTTGGGTAAACCTGAAAAATGAATAACAAAAGCGATTGACAGATGAAATTCGAAACAGGAGCACAGAAATACTACGCAGAAGTATATCGACTATGATATATGTAGGTGAGTTCATTGTACTGACTACAAAAGTTACTTGAAGAGGTATCCAAAACCTACTGTTTCTAGGTAAGCTTATAGGGAAGAAGATGAAGGTGCATACGAATGTAGTGGAAACTAAACTGAAGCCGAAGATATCACTGTGGAATAGAGGATTTTGGACCAGGTATTCGTTTATGTGCGGAAAACCTATGTACAAAAGTCTAATGAAGTTATAAACATTTAAATAAAACTCATGCTTTTTGCTGTAATGGTAACCACACTTTATATAGTCATGGGGAAGGGATGATCATGGTGTTGCCTGTTGAGTGTTACCATATCAGGACTATAGAGACAATATGGTGGTGTAGAGTGAGCTGAGCTCTAGTAGACCTGGAGAATTTTTTTTTGGTAACCTCATTCTTTTCACTATTATTTTTGTCGTCATAAGTACAAGAGCTGTAGGTTTCATAAAAATACCGCCATAGAGAGAAAGGTAGTTCAAGTTTATTTCCCCATCATCATGCCTGTTGGTCAGTTATCTCCATCTCCGCATATTTTCACGTTAAGTTTTAGAAAATATTTTTGTGCTACGCTCGATAGAGTTGATGGTTACGAGGATATTTCCAGCCGTGCGTACATTAATTGACTCAATCGTCCCTTGGTGTGTACCACACACCAGGCAAAACTTATGACTGTTATACCTCCATTCATGCCATAGTCAAGCTTGATTTACCACGCAAAACTGACGTGTACTACTGCACAGCACAAAGACTCCTAGCTTATTACAAAGAGAAAAGGGAACGGTGGGTGGGATGTTTATTTATAGGAGGGGTTAAGAGTAGCTGAACTATAGCAGCATTGAGGTTAGGAACAGTAACTAGCATTGAACACAATTACCACTAATTCGCATAGAATAGTATATAATTCAACAAAAATAGCTCACCGTTTAATAAATTCTTGGGTGGTTGCATTAGATTATTGCGTATTGGACTGTAGATATTTGGTGGGCCAATAAGGAACATTGTGTCATCTATGTTAGGGTACATTAAGAATCCTACATACTCCAAGTTCATTGAGGTAGTGATTCAAGGTCGACTGAAATTAAGATATGGTCTTGCAGCATCGAACATCATGCGGTAGTCTGTTCTTAGTTGGATAGCATACATTTATATTTCTAGCTATTAGTGGTTGTTCAATCGTTATTCCTTTTTAAACAATAATTATTCACTTTCAAATTTGTTTATTTCTTTATTGAAAATTTCAGCTGAAATCGGTCGAATATGCGATAAAGCTAGTGAGGTTATAGAAAATTATGAACGAAAAGTGGATAAAAAAGGCATACGTAAAACTATTTCATCTTCATCAACACACAATTCTCAGTCATCATCAAATGAGAATGATACATCAAGAAATCATGTTCCCGATTTACTTACACAAGATTTAATGAATTTAGGCTTAGATGAACCGATTACACCGTTAGCTAATACAGGAATAGTAGCATCATCTTCGGATGTATTGTTGTTGAATATGTCAAATCATTCACCTAGTAATACTTCAATTGAATCATCACCTAATAAACACATTCCTACAATTGAGGTATGTACTTCATTAACTACTAACTGCCCTCGTGGAAGTAAATCGAATTATGATGATCTACAGGATATATTTTCTACGTCGAATAATGTTTCTGCGACTAATTCATCAGTTGGTAAGTTGTTTTTTTTCTCTTCAAGTTATTCTGTTTCTGCCTCACGTTTTGAATTCGTTGTCCAACTGGCAGAGATGCATTGCATGTAGTAGTCAACCTCGTCTGCTATGTAATCTAGTCTACTTAGCTACCGAAATTTCCTGTTTTAGAATTATCTGTTGAAAAGTAAGGGAACTGTGGCTCATTAGTTTAGGCAGGTGACATTCAACCACTCCCCACCTACCGAGGTTTGTGCAGACGATTAGTATCATTAGCCATCACACGATAAGTGTGGCTCAATACCCACTTCATGAAAGTACAGAAGGTTACTGAGCTCTTTTTTTATTGGTGTGAATAAATTGCTGTATGTAATGGCGCTTTGGAGTCAAGTTGTACTGTGGATTAGATGGAGGTATGATGAAAGTAGGGGTTATTTAAAATCTACTATGAATTCTTCATTATTCCACAGTTTTGTGTCGTTAGCCATGAGATTCTTCATGGGATTGATGGTATTCTTCAACATTTCCTATCTGACTGTGTTACAAGCTCAAATTAGATTAGATGTAGAACGAATGCATTCACTATTTACCAAGATGGTGGTGATTCTAATTGCAAGAAGTGAATACGTCTGTACTACTGCAGCAGATTTTTAGCAATGGAACCTTAGGTCTTCAATTTCTTACACCTCAAAGGTTTCAACCAAGTAGTCTGTACTTCCACTCCTCCCCTGCTCCACTCACACTTGGGGTTTAGATAAGCTTTTTCACTTAGCTGACGAGTCACGGACAGGACGAAACATCCGTCCTGAACTCCACAGCTAGTCATTAAGATGAATGTTAACATCATGAATATCCGGATTTGGATTTGTATGAACAATCTTGACTAGGCAGTCAGTGTGAATATGACTAAGCGGTAGTAAAGCGTCACGAATTTACATGGTAGTCGAGCAAAATCCTTGGTGATAGAAGTGAAATAAAAAATGTGGTCAGCAGTCCGATCTCGTAGCTCAGTTGGTACAGCAACCGAATGGTCGCTGGCTCAAATCTGACTATGGTCTAAATTTTCATTTCACCTTCAATCATCACAGTAATAATCCTGTTCTAGCTGTAAGTTAAATGTACAGCTTCTTTCACAACTCAAGGACCACTTAACGGTCTTATTAGATTTTAAGGTGGTACCTTTCTTCCCATCTTAATAGCTGGTCCCAAGCCCGGGTAAAGAGGGAAGGTCGGGCATAGGGCTAGCAACCCTACTCCGTAAAACCAATCCAACCGCTAAAGAAACTTCAAAGCACAAACGAAATATAAAAAATAAAAACAAAATTATTCCTCGCTGGAATCGGGAGGCGAGATGACGCCAGTTGATGAAAGCCTTCGGGAAGCCAATTGGCCGATGTGTCTTCTCTCAATGAAAGCAAAAGTAAACATGGGGACATGAAATGTTCGCACTATGCTTGAACCTAGTAAGGCTGCCTAGATTGCAAAAGAGATGAGAAGGTATCACATTGAAGTGCTTGAAATTCGCGAAAGTAGATGGAATGGGAGTGGACTCTCCAAACTGTCAACTTGAGAGTCAGTAATCTACTCCAGTCACCCAACGACAAACGTGAACACACTGAGTTTCGGAGTAGCTATCATGATATCCTCAAGAGCATCGAAGGCTCTCATGCAGTGGGAACGAATCTCCTCCAGGATTATGACAGCAGGGTTTCAACTCGAAAGGAAGGAAGGAAAGTCACAACCATTCAATGCTGCGCGCCAACAAATAATGCAGACGAAGAAAAGAAGGAGGAATTTTACAGACAACTGCAAACAACACTGGACAAGACCTCAGTTGGCGATATCAAAATTCATTCTAATGGGAGACATGAATGCCAAACTGGGAGCAGACAACACAGGAAGAGAACTCATCATGAGTCAAGAAGCACTCGATTAAGATACCCAACGAACAACAACAGGCACCGATCACCATCAACGGGAGACAGCTGAAAGAAGTAGCCTCTTTCACCTACCTAGGCTGGCAGCATGGTTTCAACTACAGGCGGCAGTGGTACAGAAAAAGATGTCAAAACCAGGATCGGAAAGGCAAGACGGGTCTTCCTTAATCTGAAGTCACTGTGGCGATCTACTGCACTCAGCATATGGAACAAGATCTGGATTTTCAACACCAATGTCGAGTCAGTGCTGCTATATGGTTGAGAAACTTGGCGCGTCACGAAAAGCACTTTCAACGAACTACAGACATTCATCAACAGCTGCCGCCTACGTTCACTCGATACTGAAGATCAGATGGGATGGCCAGAATAATAAGAATAAGCAACAAGGAACTCTAGCTATCTGGCAACGAGCCAACTAAGAACCTATCGACGAATAAATATGCGGAAGGAAGTGGAGATGGATTGGATTGAGCATACACTGGGAAGACCATTCAAAGACATCATGCGTCAGGACAGGCCCTCGAGTAGAATCCAAAGGGAGAACGACGAGTTGGGCCTCCGAGACGAGGGTGACATGGAGGAGGTCATGTGAGGAAGAAATGAGAGGTTTTAGGCAGTGGTGGAGCCAGGTTAAGAAGACTGCAGAGAAGGGAGTAAGATGGAGACGTGCTAGTGAAGCCGTTTGTTCCACTAGGAACTCAAGGGAAAAATAATGATAATAATCTTCAGTGTATGTAGGTTCTCAGTTTTATTAGTTGAGCTAACCTTTATGGCACACCGTTGGTCGATTTAAGCGCTTGGCTTTCGGCTAATGCGTACATGTGCAAACTTCATCTCACCTATTTCGTCCTGGACTATTGGGTAGTATCAAAGGTCTTTATGCGATTAAGGTAGCTCATAACTCAGGGCGTTAAGAAGTGAACCAGGTCGACTCGCGTTAGTTCATTAGTATTTGGATGAATTCTGGCCAAGATTTGACGGGTTAGTTTCACAAATATTAGGCGCCTAGTGAAAAGTTGACATTAGATATGAGTTATATTTGGATAGATCTCAGAGTGTTTAAAATAATAAATTTCAGCGTTTCACCCAGAAGTCTAGTCCGAGCTTCTTCAGAAAAATAATCAAAATCTACTTTATCATATGTATAACAGGTCAAAACTCGTATAGTTCACCTCATTGTTCAGTTGTGGCTGCATTGTCATTATTATTATTATTATTATTATTATTATTATTGTGAAAATTAATAAAAGAAAATTCAACGAAGAAAATTTTCTTTTACACGAATCATTTTCAAAAGTTGTACAATCTTAATCATACAACAGAATATATATGTCCATCAATGGCTAATGAGTGTATACAAGGTCATCAAAAACGGTCAAGGTGACAACAGTTAGGTCAACTCAAGGTCATCAAAAGTTACTTATAGGATTGTAGTAAATAAGCAGAGAAATGAATATACTGTCTTAGCGAGATTATGACCAAGGCAAAAGTAGAGATTAATTATATCTTTTTTGAACGCAAAGATCAAACTTGTGTTACTGGATTGTCAGAGGTGGCGAATACACACTCGCTTCGAAATGTTTGCCTTCACCTTACAAATGACCTTGAAAGAAGATTCTTGTAGAACACAATGACCAAAGATAACCGAATGCTCAATAATCAAGCTGTTGACTATTTTACACTGTCCTTTAGACAACCATGCAGGATAGTGTTCGGAGATGCGTTTAGATAGAACACGCTTTTATGCTACACATACACACCTATGAGGACAGAACAGAGTGAACTTCTTTTCTGTGTATACGAATATTGATATTAAAGGAGATTGTCTCATTAGTATCATCCTTGCTTTTTATGTTCATACGGCGATTGCATTATTATTATTATTATTATGCGATTATCGACCTCATTCAACAACTATATGAAGACGCAACATGCCAAGTGATCAACAATGAAAAGCTCAGTGACGCCTTTGAAGTGAAGGCAGGAGTAAGACAAGGCTGTCCACTATCACCCATGATCTTCCTGATTGTGGTCGACTGGATGATGCAACAAACAGTGGGGAGCGAGAAGAGGGGGATACGCTGGACCGAGGAGAAGATCCTAGAAGATTTGGATTTCGCAAATGACTTATGTCTGTCACACAAACTTGAAGATCTACAGGCAAAATCCAATAAGTTGACAGAAAAGGTGGGGCAGCGAAGACGGGACATGAAGTAAACGTAGAGAAGACAGAGACACCCAACCAAAAACAACAAGCTGCAATCACCATCAACGGGAGAAACCTAAAGGAAGTAGCCTCTTTCACCTACCTGTCCGCCTAGACAGCATGGTTTCAACTACTGGCGGCGGCGCAGACGAGGACGTCAAAACCAGCCAGGATCAGAAAGACAGCAGGACAGGCGTTCATTAACTTGAAATCAGTGTGGAGATCTTCAGTCAGCATAAAGAACAACATCCGGATTTTCAACACTAGCGTCAAGTCAGTGCTTCTATGTTATGGTTCAGAGACTTGGCGGCGCGTTACGAAACCATTTCCAACAAACTGCAGACATTCATCAACAGTTGCCTACGCTCGATACTGAAGATCAGATGGCCAGGAAGAATAAGCAACAAGTAACTCTGGGAACGAACCAACCAAGAAGCTATCGCTCAACAAATATGCAGGAAGTGAAGATACTTTGGGCATGCACTGAGAAGATCATTCGGGGACATCATGCGGCAGGCCGTCGAGTTGAACCTAAATGGGAAAGGTTGATTTGGGTGTTGGAGGCGAGGGTAACATGGAGGAGATCGTGTGAGGAAGAAATGAAAGCTTGTGGGCTGTCATGAGGCCGGGTTCAAAAGATTGCAGAGAAGAGAGTGAAATGGAGACGTGCTACTGAATCCCTACGTTCCACTAGGAACCCAAGGGACGAGTAACAATAATAATCATTATTATTAGAGTAAACGTTCGGTGGGACGTATTGCCATTTCAGTTGTTTTATTAGATGTATGACATAGCAAATGTAGCATTGTTTACTGGATTGACTAGGTTTTGGACGCAATTTATTTTCCGTAGTTTTATCAAGGGGTATTTGGCTTTAGACAATAAAATTATATTCGAAAATTAATTCAACAAATTACATTGTCTCATTATGTGATACATCTATTAATTATATTACACATACTATCCTAAGTGTTTTACAGTCACTAGAAAAATTTGTCTAAGTATCGAAAAGAACAAATAAACAAATCAGCATAAAACCTGGTGCAAAAGTACATCGATTCATGTTACCATAACTACACAGGAGTATACAAAGAACAAGTGAGTAGATGAAGAGTGCTATCAAAGTAGCTAAAATGTGTATAGATTGATAGAAGGTAAATAAATGATAACAAGTGTATACATCTGAGCCATTTTGATCAATTTTCGTCCATGGCACTGGAGAGTCTGCAACCAATGATTCTTATTACCTCAAGGTTCCTATTCAGCTTGATACATGGCTCAAATAAACAGTTAAAGGTTTCATAGACTAGTGATTTTAGCAGCAACTCTTACGCTTAGTTTATTCATCGAGAAGAGTTTTTTCTTCTACACTTTTCCTATGATAAACAACACAACTACCTTTCATTACCTTATTCACCTGTTGTCAGTATAGGTTAGATTAACAGATGTTGTTTTCAAATCTGTAGATTACTACTGTTTACAGCTACTATTGCTTTAGTCAGTTTTTCAGAGAAACATGATTCTAAACTGTGTATGTATACCAAATGTTTATCTTTTCTTTCATTTTTGATTCAGTGAATTCTGTTTCACCAATGCTTTATCCATCAATGTTTAATTCTGTACATGGTAAACCTTTGAAACAAGAATCACCTCTTGGACATGGACTTCCTGCAAACTCTAATCCAATGTCTTCAGTGAATTGGATAATTTGAGTCGTCAAATGTTTGAATTGTCAAAGTAAGCAGAATTCATAAATTTAGGTAAACATTGTTCATATGGCTTTAGGGTATGCATGTATGGTGTATTGCTAATCGTTGCTTACCCCCCATAGCACGATGTCAGGTAAAGTGGGCTTAGATTGGAAAAGATTAAAGGCGACCAAACTAAGACACAGAAGCTACGACTGTTCGTGTAAGCCGTGTAGGTTGACACAGACCTCCAGATTAGGTCTGTATGACAACTAATATTAATGATCGAAAACTGTAAATGATACGGTTGAACATCAATCTCAGTGGGGCATATCTACCCTAATAGTTATATTGCATTTCTTTATTGCTTCTCCCCCTCCTTCCGCCATTCCTATCTAATAACTTTCTACGGATTTTGATTCTCATATATTGATGTAGTTATACCAAGTGTAGCATTTTGGAGCTTTAAGAAGTCATTGCCGAACTTCATGTTTAACAGGCTGCTAGATTTATACAGGAAATATATTTGTAAAATCTTAATGAAGTAGAAAAATTTCTGACATTTCGCGACCTTGTGAAAGTCGTTTCTCCATAGAATAAAACCTGTACAAGCTACCTCATGTTTAAATAGTGAACGGAAAGAAATCTGAGCACACTGTTCATATTTGCCCATAAAAATAATGATAAAATGCGAATGAAGGTCATCGTTATCAATTATTGGTCCCTGAGTTCAAGGTCAAGGTGTGGATGTATGCGGAAAGTAATTTAAATGAGAAATTCCATTTGTATACCGCTGTTGACCTGTACAATGTGTTCTTTCAAAAATGACTTCATAGGTCACCCTAGCAGCGATTGAAATATAACCAATTAGGCTTGTGTATTTTAGCTAGAAAGGCAAATTTTCATAAACTAGATTACTCTGATTGATATTATTTCAGTTGTTACTAGGGTGGCTCTTTAAGCCATTCCTGTTTAATAAACTAAATCAGGCTTCGGTATTTTCCCTGGAAAAGTACTTTTCCATAAAATAAAGGAATGTAATTGGCTGTTTCATTTACTCAATACTCAATCTATTCGATTCTATCTAGTCAAATTGTGAGTCTACTAAAGAAAGGTTGCTAGGTTGTTTTTATTGTCATAATGTTTCTGGAATATCCTTGGTTTTTTGTACTGTTTATTATATTTTTCTATACGATGAGTATAGGTTGAAGAACTCAATAAATTGGGATTAAAGTAGGATTCGAACGATTAAAATTTGAACTGTTGACCCATTGATGTTTGAATTCGATAGTTGACCAGCTTGAACATAAGTTGCTATACCTTGTTATCATTTTCTGAAAATACAATACCTGCTGATTGGAAGATTGGAGTTGTACCTCTATCTAAGTCAGCTACTGGATCAGTTGTAAAGTGTAAAACAATGAAATAATTACTTCTACTTGTCCTTGAAACTTCATTGAATGTTTTCAGAGATCGAAAACAATTTGTTTATATCAACACAGAAGAAGCAATTTAGATGCTGCCACTGTCTCTAACATCTTAGTAGTGTTTCTAGTCTAGACAAAGATGCTTAGTATATTCACTATGTCGTTGTCTCTGTTCCTAGAGCACTCTTGTTGAATACGTTTGCCATTGCTTATACTAAGCCCTGGGTGACAAACTGATTGAATTCTTATTTTCTGGAAGGAAACAGTATACTGTCGTCTTCTGAAGCCGGTGTGCCTCATAATGCAATACTTTCACCGTTTCTGTTTTCTTCCTTTTTGCATCACTCATCCTACTCTCCTTACACTAATTTTATTCAGTATGCTGATGATCTGTTAGTTTCTGTGTCAGTTGTGTCTCTCTCAATTAGATGGTTTCTTATCTATTATTGACCAGTGATCCTTCTCAGTGATCTCAAACTGAACTCTTCAGAAGGTGAAACTGTTAATTTCAGCCTCAGGAGTAACCAAGACTTGTGAGATCTACTTCGGTTTCATGGCTACTGTAGTATTGATGGTAATACTGTGGGAAGCATATCGCATGTTACCTATCTTCGAGTGAGTTTTTATTCTGATTTCGGTTAGTCGTCTCAGATCATGTTGACATTCAAGAAGATCTTTCATTTAAGGTTATTACATAAGAAAGCTGAAACTCTGTGGTATAACTCAACCTCTACTCTGACAATTTATTGATTCATGTATTATGCCTATTCTTCTTTGTTGTTCCCTGTTAATCTTTGGTAGTCTACTATAAAAGGGGTTTGAAAGACATCAGTAGGGTAGATGGTGTGCATTTGGCTCAAGTGATTATTACTATAGTTGGAAGACACTTGAATTCAAGCAGAGAACTATGTAGAGTCATTTTATCTGATGGTGAGCATCCACTTTATTCACAGCTCCCTCCTTGTCTCTTCTCAGGAGGGAGGAGAAGGAACTATATAAGACTGTACGCTCACACAGCCTTACTTAGCATCCATCTTATGTGAAGAAAAGAGTGTTAGAATAAAACTTACTTATCAACTTCATAACAGTAGATAACCAATCTTTTCAATATTCCAACCATTCATGTATAAAACTGTCCTAATGGTATTTATTATTATTATTTGTCCTTCGGGTTTCTAGTGGTTCCTAGTGGAATATAGGGATTCAGTAGCACGTCGCCATTTCACTATCTTCTCTGCATTCCCTTTAATCTGGCTCTACCATTGCCCACAAGCTTTCATTTCTTCCTCACACGATCTCCTCCATGTCACTATCGCCTCGGACGCCCAACCCATTTGGGTTCCAGTCGACGGCCTGCCCTGGCCTGGTGTGTGATATCCCTAACGGCCTTTTCAGTGTATGTCCAATCCATCTCCACTTTATTCTGTATATTTGTTGGACAATAGGTTCTTGGTTGGTTGGTTCGTTGCCAACCAGCCAGCCAGCCAGAGTTCCTTGTTGTTTATTCTTATTATTCTGGCCATCTGATCTCCATCTTTAGTATCGAATGAGTGTAGGCGGCAGCTGTTGATGTATGTCTGTAGTTTGTTGGAAATGATTTTCGTGACGCGCCAAGTTCTCAACCAACATATAGAAACACTGACTTGACTGACATTAGTGTTGAAAATGCGGATGTTGTTGTTTATGCTGAGTGCGGCGTGGTGCAGTGGAGTGCAGTAGATCTCCACACTGATTTCAGATTAATGAAGGAAGGCCTGTCTTGCTATCTTTCCGATCTTGGCTTTGACGTCCTCGTCTGTGCTGCCTGTAGTTTAAATGATGCTGACTAGGTAGGTGGGTTAAAAAAAACAGTTTCCTTTATATTTCTTCTGTTGATGGTGATTGGTGCTTGTTATTGTTTGTTGGATATCTTCATCATCTGTGTCTTCTCTATGTTCACCCGAAGGAAGTCCTATCTTCGCTGCCCTGCCTTGCCTCTTCTGCCAACTTGTTAGTTTTCGCCTTTTTAATCTTCGAGTCTGTACGACTTAAGATATTAGACATAAATCATCATCGGCGAAATCCAAATCTTCTCCTGGGGTCTTTTAATCCGTCCAGCCAGCGTAGGGCCAACTTCTCGCTCCCACCAATACTATTTACATAATTTAAGTTGTAATTGATACTATTCGAAGTATTGTAAAGAAGTATGCTGTTTTTAAAGATATTAGACGCTGAGAATTCCAAATTATATTGAAGTTGATTGTAATAAAGTGATTATTATTATTATCATTATTATTACTGTCTCAATATTTTTAAAACATACTCTACCATAGAACGAATGCTTTAGCAGATACCAATCTGTCGAAACTGCTTGGCAACGATTCAACTTTATACTCTCAGAAAAATTCAACTGACAATAACAACACCAATATAGTCAAAGAAACCAATGAAGCTCCCATTGATGGTGATCATAATCACAATAGTATAGCTGTAGTATCATTTCAGCCTACATCTGTTGACCTAAAATCTTATGATATTCAACTCTCTTCTATACAACCGCATACAGTGTATACAACACCAGTCACTCTTTATCCTGATACTACTACTACTGGTGATGATAACATAAATAATTCCCAAGCAGATAAGAATTGTATCAAATTGTCGCTACACTATGCTAATAATCGACCTGATCCTCAAGTGATGGTCTTTGTCGCTGTGATATCCAGTCAAAATCCCTTGCCTATTACTGAAATCAATGTTAGATTTGGTGTTGAAAAGGTGAGATAATGATAACTATATCTATATGTTTTATATGCTGTTTACTTCTTGTTTTCATTCATTTTTATCTATTTATTAGAACACAAATATGATGCACCAAGGGCATCTAGAAATGTGCCACACAAATGATTAGAAGGGGCCAGTCCAATAAGATATATTCAAAACGAAGCAATTATTACTTTTCACTCGAGTAAGACAAAAGGAAACTACAGCTTGACGGCAACTGGTTTCCATTCTTAGCTATATCTGATAACGTCTCAAGCCACTGAGTTGCGTGATCTTTTGGACCCCACCCAGGTAGTCGTGATGTACCAACATATGCTAACCCGATATAACTGTCATTCATCCCACGGCGCCGTCATACACTGACCAGTCCACTTCTTCCATCCAGTTCCATGGCTACCAAGCAATGAACGCTATGGTAGCCGTTGGGACGATTTGCGTAACACATATCGAAGCCACCGAAGCCGGTGTTTCATGACGACTTCACTTATTGAATGACGATCTTCATCATGCCCAAACATACGTGGTCGTACCTCAGCATAACCTGCATGCTGTTGCCACCGAATACGAGCGATCCTACAGAGATAACGATGATGGAACATAAAGAGTCGTCGCATATCCTCAGCTCGGAAAGGCCAGGTTTCACTAGTGTAGAGTAGAACTAACTGCACCGAAGCGTTGTAAACCCAACCTTTAACGATCACACTAACGTCATGAATGCGCGTAAACGTGGCCCAAATTGGCGTATACCATTCTGGCTTTGGATATACAACTAGGAATTTCATCCCTTTTTTCTTCCACCAACACTCACAAAACTACCCAGATGTAAAATTTTTCCCTTTGGCTCACCACCTACGATGGGGGAAGGTACAAGCCACTATCAATCTTGCAAAAGTACTTTCCACTTTGATGGTACAAAGCATATACCATACTTACAGAAAGTATCGTTCCTGTTTCTTGTATAACATGATTTAGCAACCTTTTGTGGGTTTTTCTTATAAGCAATGAACTTCATTTATTGTATTTGTAGGGGGTTAATCATACTACCCTTCTTCTCAAACCTCGGTAGATAGAGCACGATTTGAACCTCGTGACTAACTGATCTAAAGTTGATTGAGTAAATCGTTGACCTACTATTCTTACTTGTATTAACAAATTGTTCGTGTACTATTATATTCAGTTGTTATCCTGATACTTCAGCATATTCCAACTGCTTAGCCAGGTTTAAATCTTGTGTTCAACATCGACTAGAATCGGATTATGAACTAAATAGACTTTATTTTATGTGGTGGTAGGCACTTTGTTGGAAACTATGGATTTACGTTATTTACTTATTAAAACTGCTCAGATAGATTCAAGGCTTCTGTCTAATTGTCTTTTACCGCCTAACATCAATGATTCTGAGTACACTACAATGACTGATGACCATTTTCTAAGCTAGATCAAATTCAGTCAGAAGTTAGACTAAGTAATATAAGGTTGGTTACTTTTTAACGAACAATAAATGTACTCTTTATTCTAATCAGCAATTATACTTGATTCAGAACACAAATTTGTTGAAATATGAGCCTCAGAAAATATACCATACAAAACAACATTACAACATTAAAAGGCTGTAAAAGTAATATTGAACTGAGTAAATGAAAAGAGAAGGGAGGTAAAAGTAGAAACGAGTTAACAAAACATCAGTTTGAAGCATATGCTCGAAGAAGTATCCTTTACGTTCGTTTCGCTTTTCAGTATTGTAAGAAATGAGAAAACTGCAACATGTTGGCCGCTGGTTTCTATTTTAAGCCATGCCTGCTAATATTTCATTCTACTGAGTAGCTTAAACTTTCAATTCCCTTCGAGAAATTCGGAAGGCATCTATAGAGATGTTAAATAAACACAACTACACTTTATCGTATGGCATAATATCATGCACTGACCATGTCTTCGTTTTCCCTGACCAATCTCAGGACAAGCGAACAGTGAACGCTGTGAAATACGCTGGTACAATGTTCGTAACAAACTCCCGAGCCACCAAACCTGATTTCCAAGATCATTTCATTTAACAAACTATCATCTTCCTTACACCTGAAAAGCTATTATACTTAAGGATTACTTACTTAATGTTTTCATTGGATGTGAACAATCCTTTTAGGCAACGGTGATCGAACATTATCATTTCGAAGCCGATAATGTTCACCATCTGTCTACATCCCGCAACGACAGCAGAACTAGTTTTAGGTTGGAAAAATGTAGGAGACGGACAAACTAAAACAGACTATTAGTCTAATCCGTGCAGGGAATTGTAGTCTCTCCGTTTGGAGTCCACGTGAGAACAGAAATCATGGCTTGGAGACTTTAAGTGGTATGGCTTGACTTGAAATCAACTTCGGGCTCAGATGTATCCACATATTATTTTCATCTTAATCACAGTGTCGAATTTCATTACCGTTTCATTCCTTCTTGTTCTCTTTTCATGATGTTCTATCACTTTGACTACTTTCTTTCTTACTTCTATCTTTCACTTTAGTGCCTTCCTCGCTTGATGTGCTAGCGATTTGTACCTTTACGCAGTTCTCATGTTTATCCTAATTAGCTGACTGGTCGACTTTAAGAGTTCAGCTTCCTTAGGCGTTTTATACTTGATCCTTCACAGTCAGGTCAACGTCTCAGCGTGGTTAAAGGTGACTCGAAGTCTCCCCTGTGAAGGAGTAATATGCTGCATCCTCAGACTTCTATCGCTTGGAAACACACTACAATCCTTATCATCCCATATTATCCATGTGATGTCATCTTCATTTCTTAATTGATGGGTATTTCAGGAAGTTTATCTCTATGGGAAATCACTGTTGATTATCGTCTTCTAATTGATTACCTTTCTGAGGCCACTTCATCAATGAAGATAAGGTTTTACATTTACTGATTCCCCATGAATCATTCAGTTGAATCGTGTTACACCTTAGCAACTCTTTGGAATAAATACAAATTCATATATATATGATCTACTGCTCCACTATTTATTAGCTGGTCGAATGAATTCACAAAGAGGAAATAAGTGCGAAAATGTTTTTGAGTTCCGATTGTATTCTCCTTCAACGATCACTTTCTTGCATGTTTGTTGAGATCAGAGATATATACATTATCATGACTCTTGGCCCAGTTGTAATTATCTGAAGGAAGGAATTCTGCCAAATTCAACCCAAACGTTGATTTTGCATATAATTAATCTCACATATACTTCTCACCTCTGGGATGCTAAATTCACCTACATGATGAATCATCCAATTCAGTCCTTCCAACTTCACTCAACAGAACACAATGTCGTGTGCTTATTGTCCACAGATAATCTTGGCAATCTGAGTTGTGTGACTTTAAAGGCTATCCTTACAACTGCTGAGATATCTGTATATATATTTCGTTGTTTTATGAAAATCTGCCTTGCTAAAATCTGACTAGTTATTTCAGTAGCTTCAAGGCTGATCTTTAGTGTCACTCATCTGAATGACCCGTAGATATACGCAATTGAATTTCCTATCCACAATGCATAAAAAATGCAAATAATACACAAAAATTGGTTGAACTCAATTATTTGCAAACTACAAGTTCAAAAATAAACATTTTATGCTTAAATTTTTATAAATTTATCTTATAGAAAGTTTGAATTGTCTTTATCGCGTCCTTTTCCGCTTAACATGTATCGTTCAAATTTACCGCCTTTGAGAACGCTGTTTTCCTATTGGTTAATTTCCCACTTTTAATATACTATTTGATCTATCCACCTCAAGGACGCATATATTGTATATAAATTCATGAGTTGTATCCCTGAGTTGTTACCTTCCTACTTCGATTGAAGTAAACTCCCTTTGGTTCAGTATTATGTCTTTCTCGTGTGTCAGCTGAACACTAGTTGTCAAGTATCGTATCATTGACTTAGTAACTAGATCTTGCATCTCCAATTATTCGTAGCCGAGAATTTCAACATACAAAAATCGATAAGGGGTTGATCAAAAGTTCTCGACTTGAGGTTTTATGATAATGTCATCAAATAAATCATCAGTAAAATATCTTTTAAAATAAAATAATAGTAATTAAACCAACCAAGAACCTATCACCCAACAAATATGCAGGAGGAAGTGGAGATGGATTGGGCATACACTGAGAAGGCTGACTGGGGACATCACGCGTCAGGCCAGGCCATCGATTGGAATCCCCATAGGAAGCGACGAGTTGGACATCCGAGGGTGACATGGAAGAGATCGTGCGAGGAGGAAATGAGAGCTTGTGGGCTGTCGTGGAACCAGGTTCAAAAGATCTCAGAGAAGAGAGTTCACTGGAGACGTGTTACTGAAGCCCTATGTTCGACTAGGAACCCAAGGGACTAATAATAATACTTATCTGTGATCGCCATTTTTCGACTTGTATGGATATAACATGTCTTTTCTTTATCAAATCATAATTTCCTTCATTTATTTTTGCCTTTTCCATTATTCTAAAGCCGTGTAAAATAAGACAACTTTCGGCATCCGGTGAAAATCTACCAGCCTATTCACCTTTCCTGCCAGCTGCTTCAATAAGTCAAGTGTTATTAATTCATAATCCTTCAAAATTAGTAAGTTAAATTGTATTAACATTTAAAAAGATGATATACGCTTCCTTTTCAAGGGACAATAAAGTGTATTATGCTAATGGATGATTAATTGTTGGTGTGTTAGCCGTTTAAGGTAATGTAGGTTCCCTTACTAATCGATGTCCGGATACAAATTGAAACCGACTGACTGACTGACTGACTGACTGAATTGATCTCATCGGTATAAAAATGCATTTAGCAATTATTTTCATTATGCTTTATCTTCTCTACGAAACAGCTTTCCACGACTTTATATTTTGTGATTTTCGCCTTTTTCTCTTTCCACTGGTAATTATATTAATGTGTTGGTGAATCGAACCATTACATTATCTAGTTTGCAAGCTGAAGTAACTCTAAGTTATGGAGTGTGTTCAGCACTATAGCAACATTTGCGTATAGTGATTTACGCAGTGAATAGTAATACTGTTACAAGTCCCTGATGGACGTTGGTGATATAAGCACTAGCAGCAAACATATGACTTACATTAGTTAGTGTATCCTGCTTCTAAACCGATTATTATAACTACACTGTCTGTTCTTAGTATTTATATAACAATAGAAATATAAATACTGTGAAACATGACCATTCAAAGTGGAAAGCATGAGAAAGCTTCAGGTGTTTGACCACCGTTGCCTTCGTGGTATAGACCGTATTCCATGTCATCACCATGTGAGTAATGCAGAAGTTAGGTGTAGAGTTTTAGGGAGAAGAGGTAAATCAGTTGACACAGTTGTGAACCTTCATCGACTAAGATGGTTTGGACATGTGTTACGTTTGCCTAGTCGCTGATTACCTCGTCACACAATGCTGTCCGAAGTAGGTTGAGTGTGGGAAAAGGCTCTTGGCTCTCGGCCAGACTAAAACATTCGATCAATGTATGAAGTGTTTGACTGTTGATTTGAGTCATGTGGGGCGATGCAGACTAGCTGGATGGGGTCTGCAAGACAAGAGGAATCAGTGGTTGGAGACTCTAGGTGATCACATGGTTCAGAATCGAAGTAAGTGGTGCTGATGTACATTATCCTCATATTAACACCGTACTGAACCTCACTATTTTCTCATTCTCCCTCTTCCTATTTCATATTTATTTTGACTAGATTTTCTTTTCCTCATCTTCCACTTCACTGCCTTCTTACTTGAAGTAGTGATATTGAAGTGTAGCAAGTTGATGATGATGATGATGATATAACAATAGAAATTCATACGTCGATAGTGTGAAGTCTGATTTGATCGGATGACCATCGATCCTTACTGATTGATACCTAACCACATACACACACTACGTTTCATTTTTATTCATGTTCGTTGTCGCGTGTTAACTGGAAAACTATGTGTGAACAGAAAATATACAGACATGGTAAGACAATTTACATGTTCTTCAGTGTTCCTCACTGATTAGGTAATAAGGTAATAGTATCCTGCAATAAATTCTGGATTAAACAACTTTACTTGACATGTGGGATTCACTAGTTCCAACCCTATTCCTCACACCAAGGTTCTAGTAGTCAGATACTGGGAGTAGAGCCGTCAGGCAACGTGAATATGAAAGCGAGTTTTTTCACTTGAGGATAAACCTAATATTTAGCTTTTGATCCGTTTACCTGTGAAATTGAGTTCACTTGTCCTAGACACTCCCGCCTAGTGTGTGGAACGAAAAAGACAGTCTTTTAAAGATATTCATAACAGAGATGAAGCTGCATTACTAAACAGCCGATGAATCCTACATGTACCATCATCTGAATAGTATCGTTCAGTCTCTATCGAAACTCATCTCTCGGCTAACTGGATTCTCACAGTGACCAGATTCAAATACTTAATCGGGTGTTCAATCTGTTCTATAGGAACATCATGCATATCTGCATATCTAACTTTATTTTATATCGTCAACATCTTTTCAGTCTACTTTATCATTCATATTTCACAAGATCTTATCTTGTTGAAGTACTGAGGTGAAAGTGATATCTTAGATTCTGTTATGATGTGGAGTTGTGAGAACGAACGAAAATACTTAATGATTGTTAGTCGGGGTTTGAGACGATTCAACCCGAGTGATTCACAAAGAGAAATCAAAAGACTGGAAATTAGATGAGTTTATAGTATCTTGAACTGGAAATATTTATGAATGAAAATGGACCCTATCTATAGAGTTTGCAGTAACCTTGAAATACAAGGAGTAATTAGTGAATTTAAAGAGGCAGGAGCCAATCAGAACAATAGCGGGTTATACGAAATATGACCCATGCTCTGGAAAAAAGTGCGAATAAACCAGTTCAAATATATACAAATGCAAGTATGGAATATAAGGGATATAGGCATATCTAACAGATTCCTAATATTTATAACTATTCAGGTAACTGTATGAAATATGCATTCTCCATTGGTGCATATTTCTGTCTAAAATTCACACAAAATCTTTGAACTGTCGATCGTAGCTGTCATGTGGACTCCAACCATATAGTCTAGGGATCTCTACAGTGAGTTTCGCTCAGTCAGATTTTGAGGTTTAACAGAGTAGTTATACTGAGGTGATGACTGAAGGTGAGTTAAAAATTCGGACCACACCCGGATTCGACCCAGCTACAACCGGGTTCCCGACCCGATGCTCTACCAACTAAGCTACGGGGTCCGACTGCTGACCACATTTTTCTATTTCACTTCTATCACCAAGGATTTTGCTCAACTACCATATGAATTCATGAAGTGTTACTACCGCTTGATCGTATTCACACTGACTGCCCACTAGTCAGGACTTCTCATCCCAATACCAATGTAACTGAATTAGAGAGAGAGAGAGAGGGGGGGGGGAAAAAGCATCATATTGATTATCATTTGACTATCACAGTTTGGTGATGATTGATGGTGAAGTAAAAATTTGGACCACTCCCATATTCGAACCAGCGATCCTCTCTAATTCAGTTAGATTTGCATTGGGATGAGAAGTCCTGACTAGTGGGCAGTCAGTGTGAATACGAACAGCGGTAGTAACGCGTCCCGAATTCATATGGTAGTCGTGCGAAAACCTTTGAAGTGAAATAAAAAGTGTGATCAGCAGTCGGACCTCGTAGTTCAGTTGGTAGAGCATCGGTCGGGGAACCCGGTTGTAGCTGGGTCGAATCTGGGTGTGGTCCGAATTCCTCATTTCACCTTCAGTCATCACAATAGTCTGACAAACTATGGCTAGCTCAGATTATTATTATTATTATTATTATTATTAGTCCCTTGGGTTCCTAATGGAACATAGGGCTTCAGTAGCACGTCTCCAGTGACCTCTGTTCTCTGAAATCTTCTCTTTTAACCTGGCTCCACGACAGCCCAGAAGCTCTCATTTCCTCCTCGCACGATCTCCTCCATGTCACCCTCGCCTCGGATGCCCAACTCGTCGCTTCCTATGGGGATTCCACTCGAGTGTCTGGCCTGACGCGTGATGTCCCCAGTCGGCCATCTCAGTGTATGCCCAATCCATCTCCACTCCCACTTCCTTCTGCATATTTGTTGGGTGATAGGTTCTTAGTTGGTTCATTGGTTCGTTCCTAGAGTTCCTTGTTGCTTATTCCTTCTGGCAATCCATCTGATCTTCAGTAGCGAGCGTAAGTAGTTGTTGATGAATGTCTGTAGTTTGTTGGAAATCCCTTTCGTGACGCGCCAAGTCTCTGAACCATACAAGAGCACTGACTTGACGTTGGTGTTGAAAATCCGGATCTTGTTCCGCATGCTGAGTGCAGAAGATCTCCACACTGGTTTCAGGTTATTGAACGCCTGTCTTGCTTTTCCGATTCTGACTTTGATAACCTCGTCTGTACCGCCACCTGTAGTTGAAACAGTGCTGCCTAGATAGGTGAAGGAGGTTTCTTCCTTTAAGTTTCTCCCATTGATGGTGGCTGCAGCTTGTTGTTGTTGTTGTTGGTGGTGGTGGTGAGGTATCTTCATCACCTCTGTCTTCTCTATATTCACCTGAAGTCCTGTCTTCGCTGCCCTGCCTCTTCTGTCAACTTGTTAATTTTCGCCTGTAGGTCTTCAAGTTTGTGTGACATCAGACACAAGTCATCGGTGGCGAAATCCAAATCTTCTATGTTCTTTTCCGCAGTCCAGCTCAGATAGTCAAATGATAATAGAGTAGTGTCGTGTGTCATGATATGTGATGCACGTAAAACTTCTCTCTAACTGTTTCTTTACTTGGTATAACGGTTTGTAGTGGTTTATTTGTAGAATAAGGAATGCATGATTTAATTGTCGATTGCGTATTGTCAAAAATGCTCATAATTAGGTAATATGAAATATTTGATATCATCTAGCCTATCTCTTCTGAAAACTTTTTCTGTGAGAAGTAGTTTCAATTAGTGAGGAATTTTTTCCCATAAAGTTATTTTAGAGTATTCATCTTATGAATCATGACTAACTCCTGAGTTCCTTCTTTTTTACAGGAGAAATTTGTGCTTAAATTTCAACTTTCTTTCATATTAGACGGTGAAGCTATTCTAGAATCTGGGAAGTTCGAACTACCATGTGCATAACTTGTTCTTCCATTTTAAACTTAACATTTAATTCTCTTGTGATTATTGTAGTCTTACATTTGTTGGCTAAATCATACCTTGTTTTGTGATATATGACTTACATTTCAGCAATATCTTGGAATGATGACCGTGTACTTTTGCATGTATAAAAAGTTGACTCTTTGGTGAATTCACGTTAAACCCATACAGATACTTTACGATATACTTTTACTGTGTAGTTTAATTTCTTTCTCCTTTGTGTAAAACTCATTTTCATCAAGATGCTATGTGTTTCCGGGTTTTCAGATCTTCTTTCAGAGTGTGATGATTTTTGATCCACTTTGTTCATTCTACTTACTAATAGTAAGTAGTATAAATTTGTTTCAGTAATTTATCAGCTCGGTCCACTTTACATTGGTTTTCCATAGACACAAGGGCATTACTATTCTTTATTTTCAAATTCTCTTTATAGGCGTTGACTTATTTGTTGATATGAGTGTGATTAATAAACAAAATTTTGCTAAATATTCAGTTATGGTCTCTGTTTCACGTACTTTGTTTTCTTTGTTCATATTTTCTGTTTTTGATATATTATGAAATTAGTTGTCATGCGAAGTTCTTCCTTTCTTAGTGATTTTCTCTAGTTGGTTGAAGGAAAAATTATATATTATTCTCGATATTTGCCTGCTTTCACGCTATGTTGATTATCTTCCTGGTAAATATTTTCTTTCTTTGAATTTTGTATGTCCCATTCCAGCTGTTTCCTTAGTTCTTATTTCCCTCATGCACACTTCTCTCTGCTTCTATTTCTGAGTCCGTATCACTATCCTAATCATAACAGGACAACTGATATCCTCTGTATCGTTTTCATTGTGAACGTTTTCTCACTTTATTGATAATTTAATCAATAAAATCGCGTATTCCTCTGTGGTGTTTCTATGAATAATCTTGTTTTGCATGTGATGATATATTTGAGAAGATGGAATATCAATTAAAGAGTTATTTGGGTGTGACTTACCGTCTCAAATATGGTCTTTTTTTAATATCGACTACTGATGGTTTGGAGTGGGTAGGTGATTCTTTTGCTATTTTTTTTTGGCCAAATATGTGATTTGAAAGTTTTAGATATTTCGCATAAATCATTGTTAGATGTCTTAGGGCAAGTGAGTTGTTCCCAGTTGGATTCAGTAATCTATAAGCAAGTCACAGTTTCAAACCTGCTAACACTAACTCAACCAATAAGAAACAGCAAGTAGGTCAATGTGATAGCCAATGAAAACACATCTGGAGACAATGACATGATTGTAGCAGAAACAACCAATCACATCCAAGACCATCAAGCCAAGCTTTCCAATGGAGAAACATACTACTGAAGTAACCAATCAGATTGATCTGTCGATTTTCTGACCCAGATCAGTCATTTAAAAACCGGATGGCCATTTCGCTCATTTGCGATCGAGATCATCAGCGGTGTACTCGGACAAATTCAGCTTATGGAACAAAAATAATTCAGATTACCTGGATTTGGCCAGCTGACATGCATGGACCGGTTATATCTAGAATAGAATGATCAGTTTGCAAATGATTTATGCATTGCACGGTTCACGTTGACGTTAACAAGGTTTCCACTGGAAACCTCTCAGCTAAGATCAAGAGGTGTTTGTTATCTCTGATACAAACCTGTTATGAACTGGTGAAAGATACTACTACTGGACAAAATGAGTAGTTAGAAAAGATTGACGCTGATTTCTAGATTTCACCCACCGGATCAAAATGATCTAACTAACAGATAGCTGTTTCTCTCGTTTGTGGTCGAGTTCATTAGCTTAACGAGCTGAATTTGACCGGCTACACTGCTGATAAGCTTGGCTTCAAACAAGTGAAAGGGCCGTCCGGTGTTTACATTACTGGGATCTGACTGGCAAAATACTATACATCAGTTTAAGTGGTTTCTAGCTACTCATGTTGTTAAATAGTAGTATTTCTCGCTAGTTTATGGCACTTTCCTGTCAGGGATCACGCTTTGTCTTCTTGGCTGATCGGCTAATATACACCGGGAACCCTGTTAACACTACATATAGGGAATTGGTAAAAACAAAACTACTCAGTCGTTAGAAAGATCAATGGGAATTGTACAATTTGTAAATCATTTCCAAGTGATAATGTTACTTATGAAGAAACTGTCATTGTTCAGTTCATTGTGAATTTTGTGTTGATCAGTTTGTCTAAAATGACAATGAAATATTCATTATTAAATCATCATCTTGAGCTACAAATATTCTTCATCAAACTGTCGTATTTCTGCACTAATCGGTAAACCACAGGTCATCTACTTTGCCACTTTCATCATTCTACTCTACTATACTATGATGTTTCCATTTGAAACAATACTTAACGTATCATTTTGACCTGTAGAGTAAATTTTATTTATCATAAGTTAGTTTCAGCTGTAAACTATATTCACTGAAAACTATAGTGAATAATGATTGGGAAAGCACCAGTTTTATTTTCATTGTATCATGTACCCTAAATCAGATAGACAAAACCAACGTAGAACCTCGCATAGATGTGCATCAGCTCAAGTTGCTACACTTCACAATAGTACACAAAGAACAGGTGGATAGAAAAGGAGTGCTATCACTGTGGACAAAGTTGTGTGACAGAGAAGACAATCTGAAGATAATGGTTAGTGGGAACATTTAAGCTTTAGAAAATGTTAAGGAGTGAATATTATCTTCGGCACTGTGGTCGATTTTAAGCCATGTCAGCAAGAGTACACCCTCAACGACTGATTCCTGTCGTCTTGGGGACCCCAGTCAGGTGGTCTATATCTCCTGTACACGGGTTAGATTGACAGTCAGATACTTCATCGACTGGTGTCACGTCTTCGTCTGGCCACCCCAACCCTCTTCCAACCTAGTCCGATTCTCCCTCATATGACACCTCGAGGTAGGCGGCGACTTGACATATGCAGTACATATCCTAGCCATGTGAATCGACTAAGGTCCACAACCTCATCAGTCGTCGAGCCTAGCACCCTTTGCTTGACCTCAACATTGCTAACAGGATGATCTCACCAGATGTGAGAAATGCTACAAAAACATCTATGATCAAAACTTTGTCGTCACTTCATGTCTTCTACTTTCAGCGGCCATGTCTCATAGTCGTACAACAGGACAGAACGCATTGGAGTGCAGTATACTCGTCTTTTGCAAGATAGTCAGATATTTCACTAGTCAAATGGTAAGTGTCAAACAGTTCTTCTGTATCGGAGCTGAAATTTCATCAGCAATCACCAACTGAGCTAGGAGGTTGGTAGAGCATCGGGCCGGAAACCCCGGTGGTCGCTGATTTGAATCCGGCCGCGATCCAAATTTTCATTTCACCTTCAATCATCACTCAGTATAAGTGCTAGTCTGCTAAACCGCGGCTATCTTAGATAGTCAAAATGATAGTAGAAATTATTATTATTTCTCCCAAGGTTGAATTGCAACTTTATAATAAACTGAAAAAAAGCTGGTTGAAAATATAAAAAAACTTTCTACCAAGGGAGGGGGTATTTCTCCTGTTTATTGACCGATTTTATACCCCTGAATCCAAAGATTAGTGGATTAATTCTTAAAAAAATGCCAACCAGTGTTCCCTTTTAAGAAACTGGATTGAAAAGAAACTACTGTAATGGGCGTTGCTAATTAGAATGGATATAAGTAGTATGTGTTGAGTGGTCGGCAGAAATCATAGGGAAGTAGCAGCGATGGGCAATGATTCTGCCAAGAGAAACGCAATAGTCAATATGAGGTTATTAAGAGCAAATCAAGATCGAGGCAGGAGAGGGAATGAAGTACAATATGCAAATGACTATCCTAGTGTAAGGTGAACAATATTTGATGACTGCTGTACAAGATGTCAATAATAAACATTCTTTCCTGCATCTCAGTCTTGTCTTTTCCTACGCTATCATTTCACACTATCCTCTCCACTAATGCCTAGAGAAATGGATTGAATTTGAAACCGAGAGCACTAGATATGCTTTATTCTGTATTTTTAGCGGTTCAAACAAATTATAAACCCACTTCTCATTGTAATATCCTAATCGATGGTTAACAATTTTCAGCCATTTTCTGTACTGAGATCAATGATACAGTAAAAATGGTGTTAAGTCCAGCATGATAGGAGCATTTCAACCCTGGAACTCATCACTTCAACAAAATGCATAGTAAGCATGTTAATTGGACTAATTGAATGATGAAATCAACGTAGAACCTCTCATACTCATCAACAGCTGCCTACGATCGTTACTGAAGATCAGATGGCCAGAAAGAATAAGCGACAAGGAACTCTGGCGACAAAACAACCTATCACTGAACAAATATGCACTGGAAGGAAGTGGAGATGGATTGGATTGGGCATGCACTGAGAAGACCGATTGGGGACATCCCGCGCCAGCCAGTCCCTCGAGTGGAACCGAGATGGGAAACGACGAGTTTTGCGTCTGAGGTGAGGTTGACATGAAGGAGATTGTGTGAGGGTGAAATGAGAGGTTGTGGGCAGTTGTGGAGCCAGGTTGAAAAGATTGTAGAGAAGAGAGTGGAATGGAGGTGTGCTACTGAAGATGTATGTTCCACTTGGAACCCAAAGGACAAATAATAATAATAGAGCCTCTTACACAGTTGCATGAGATCAAGTTGCCACACTTCATCACAGTAGTACACAAAGAACAGGTGGATGGAAAAGGAGTGTTATCATTATGGACCATGTTGTCTGAGAGCATAAACTTGGTGTGGTAGTGGTCGCTTTTCAGCCATGTCATCAAGTATCTTCACCCCCTTGGTTTTTTGCGTGTCGGAGACTCCAATTAAGCAGTCTACATTTTCCCCACGTGGTTCAACCTAACAACCAGGGATTTCATCGACTGGTCTGGTCACAGATACGACTTGGCAGTGATTATCGTAGATACCACTCTAAAGAAAACAATTATCAATCATAGGAGATATTGATAGTTCAAAACTATTATTTTGGTG